TGTTACGATGAATTTGGTAGTTATTTTCAGTGCAACTCCTTTTGTATTCTTCAAAATCATTTCGGAGTGGATCCACTCCGATTTGCTACATTGCAAGTATATGGGACGTATTCTAACTGTGGTGAGGGCTTGTCCCGAGACACAGTTAGATTATTCTAACTAATGTACCTTGAGACCCACAATCCAACACAAATGCATCTCTCTGCTAGCTATGGTCTTGCGTTAAGTTCACCAAAAAATAAAATCGCCTTGATTTAATGGATATTGCAGATAAATATAGTAGGATAAACTTTCTTTGTTAAAATTTGCATTTTTCAGACTTTGTTATGGTACTTAAAGTGCAAATAACATAGAGATTGCATGTGACGTCACAGTCTAGACATTCCAAATGTCACGATTGGTTTGAAGAGGCTGATCTAAATTAAAACTGAATAGGTATCTGTGCTCGCCCTAACGGTCGCTCCGTCAACATATTAATGATTACTAAACAGTAACACATCTCAGTGTGATAAAAACCGTGTCCTTTTTGACTCAGGGGACACAATACATAATTTGTGTTTAAAAACAGTTAGCACGTTTTTTTTAAGTATCTGTGTCATTCAATGGAAATCAAAACCGTTCAAAAATAACTTTACCCTCTATCAGTTGATGTAATTTCCATGGAGATTTGACGCTTTCTTCACCACAAATTGTATCTCGTCGTATCAATAATGGATTTCTTGATAGTAATCATCTTATGCAATGTCAAACTTTGTAAAACTACACAACAACATTAACGTGTTCAAAATTTTAAATCATTATGTATTTTCTAAAAACTCTGTAAACAACCAAAGACAACCGTCGAGTAACTATCTACCACCACCATTTCTTTAGGAATTTTATCATTTCCGGTTAAGTAATTCCGAACCCGATGGGAATGCGTTACAGTACCTGTCATTTTTTTTTCATGATATTTCATTGAAAAATGACTTTCGAAATATTGTAAAGCTATTTTTGCTCATTTTATGGATAAAATATCACAAAAGGCCGATTATTTTGCTTTTTCTTCACATAATTTCATAATTATTCTATCTGTAGGCCGCGCAGTCGTGATACATGATAGCCTAACAAATGACATTCTTCTGCAAAACCGTTAAAGTATGGAATAGCCTGCCAGAGGACATCGCGGCAGCAGAATCACTTGAGATCTTTATGAGTAAGAAAGACTAAACGTAAACAATCCTTTTTTTTATCCAGTTAAAAAAAAGAAAAACAAACAAACAAACAAACAATACACCCCCCACCCCCCAAAAAAAACAAAACAAAAAGTTTCTTTTAATCAAACATGCGCACACCCAACTGGCAAAATCTTCAACTTGATGAAGGTGGCCAGATAGAGGAAGAAGAAGACATCAAGCTCCTGTGCCTTAGTCGTTCGTTCCTCTCTGATAGAGTGGTGTTGCACATCAAATGCAATTTAATCGACACAAATTTATCATTATAGAATTTGAGTCGAGAAATTTTATCCTTATTAATTTCATAAATAATTTTCAGTGATATCAGTTCATAATTTTTCTTGGCATGTGACGAAAATAAAATTTTGAATTAAGGGGAAAAAATCATGGGATTATGCTAAAATTTGCATTCAGTGAAAGATATTGTGTAAAATGATTTTTAATCACTTACGGCTATTTACTGCAGATCTGCAATTAAGAAGACCAAGAACAGTGGACACAAACAAACAAAAAACTTCACACTCATATCTATATTCTAAGAAATGTGACGTGACAACACAGATGCCATTGGAAAAAAAAACTAATTTCAACGTTTCTTGTAGGATAAATTTGTTAATTAAGAAATTGTTATTTGAGGCCGCTGGAAATTTTTCCCTGATGTTTTCATAAATTATTCTTTTAGAAAAAAAAAGAACAGTTGTGCATGCTAGTACATTATTAACTATTTCAACTTCATATGTGGAAGTGTTTTTAGTCAAACAAAAATCTTTCCCCTACCCACCTACTATTTTTTCCGGGAGAGGGCAAGCAAACATTTTTTTTTATAGATTTATTCTAGAGGATCATAATGAATAATTTATGTAATGAATTGCAAAGTTCTCCTCCTATTTCTTCAGCAGGAGCACTTCTCAATTTTTTGTTTGTCAATTTTTAACTTGAGACCCCCCCCCCCCCCCCCACACACACACACATTTTGCTTTCAAGAAATCCATTCATCAGATACGTGTACATTATACACATTATTAAATGATTAGCAGAATTTTGATGCTTTCTGATTGGTCCAGACGTTCTTTCCTGAGGTGTACCTCAGATTGTGATACATTATACATTTTCAAAGTGCGTAATTTTTAGCTCTACTGGTCAGAGACAAGAAGAGCTTATGCAGTAGTAAAGTGTCCGTCATCCGTCCGTCTAGCTGTCTGTCCGTCTGTCTAGCTGTAAACAATTTTTCACAATGCTACCCCTCCTACAGTTTTGGTCTCATTTCAATAGAACTTGGCATACAAGTAGAGTGCAATTAGATACATAATTCTCTTTATCAGTTTTTGATTTCGATGAACGGCGTTGCCATGGTTACTAAAAATAGAATTTTCTGTTCAAAACTTTCCAAAAGCTACGTTTCCTACAGATTTGGCCTGATATCAATATAACCTGGCACACACGTAGACTAAACTAAGATACAGGATTCTTTTGATCGGTTTTCGATGAACGATGTTGCCATGGTTACTAAAAATACAACTTTCTGTGAAACATTTCCAAACGCTACTCCTCCTACAGTTTGGTAGAATATAAATATAACTTGGCACACAAGTAGACTATATTAACAGGTTAGAGGAAAACGTAAATTCTGCTACAATAGTGGTATATCACTATTATAGTGAAATTCCGCTATATTTTCAGCTGTATAATCCTCCATTTCATCAAATAACATGCTTGCTTGCTGTTTAAAGCGCAAGTCAATGGGCACTTATTGACACTCTTACATGTACATGTTAGGAATTTTATTGAATTTTCTGCCGACGCATTTAGTAATTAATGCGAAAACACTTTTAAAAGCGAAGTTACATTTTTAACATAGAAACCAGTGATGCGGTAGTATTAAAAAAAGACTGAATCTTTTCAATGCTGGTTGAAAGTTATGACAAGCATTAATTTGTGCACATGTATGAGAGAAATTGAGATTTAGTCTTTCTTGAATACTACCGCAAGTGATATATCATTATTATAGCGGAATTTACATTTCCCACAAACATGATTATAAGACACATAGATCTATATATCAGTTTTCGATGAACAGTGTTTTCCGTCGTCGGATACCCACGGGTGATCACGTCTTTTACTAAAAGACGAGATCATCCGTGGGTATCCGACGATGAGTGTTGTCATGATTACTAAAAATAAAAATTTCTGTGCAATACTTTCAAAACGCTAATCCCCCTACAGTTTTGGTTTGATTTCAATATAACTCGGCACACAAGTAGACTACACCAAGCTTCGATTCTCGATCTTTACCGGTTTTTGATTTCGATGAAAGGTGTTACCATGGTTACTTGAATAGAAATTTCTATGAAATAGTTTCAAAACACTACTCCTACAGTTTTGGTCTGATTTCAATAACTTGGCACACAAATATATTACACTGAGAATTCTTTATATCGGTTTTTGGTTTTGGTGAAGTGTTGCCATATACTAAAAATAGAAATTTCTGTTCTTTCAAAGATTATTGTTTACAGCTAGACAGTTTGGTTTGATTTTAATGTAACTTAACATGCAAGTAGACAGCACCGAGATACACAGAGTAAAACCTCATTATCTCGAACTTGTTGGGACTGAGAAAAAGCTTCGAGATATCCGAGGATTCGAGATATCAGGGGTGAAATATGAAGATAACGAAAAGTATTCAATCTCGAAAGTCCAATGAAACGATACGAATTTGAAGCAGAGCAAACATGGACCTCAAAATTTAGAGGTGGGATCAGGTGCCATGGAGGAGTGAGCCTCCCCTGCCGACCAGTCACACCCGTCATGTGCTCCTTGTAAAATTCTCAAACAATATGTATAGTTGGGCTTCCAAATCACTTCGACATGTCCATGGTCTTCGAGATTTCGGTGTTTGAGATACAAAAGTTCAATTGTAATTTTCTACATTGTTTTTAGATTTTGATGATCGATGTTGCCATGGTTACTAAAAAGAGAGATTTCTGTAAAATTCTTTCAAGGCAACTCGTCCTACAGTTTTGGTCCGATTACAATAAATTTTGCCACAAAAAGACTTAACCAAGGATCAATATTCTATTTATTGACGGTCTGAGCATCTCACGATTTCTACCTTGCTTTGGATTGGGTCTAATTTTGTTAATTGTCCGAATTTTAAAATTATTAACGCATGAATAATGATCACATGTGAAATTTCAATCTTTAGTCAAGACGCTTTCCAAATTTCATGGATTTCACTCAGTCCGATACATTGAAAATAAGTCGTTTTGTGGTCAAGATATCTTATTTTAGAGGAAATCTGCATTAATTTTCCAAACGCCATTAAAATCAAACAATTAGAAAGTAATATATTTAAGCGATTTAAAGATACTTTAAAATATTTTTATATAGTTTTATTTTTTTTGGTATATGCAATCTTTGAGCAGGCTGTATTAATTCGAAGCAAACTGAAATGTGTGTATGTATGTGTGTGTGTGTGTGTGAGGGTGTGTGTGTGTGTGTGTGTCTTTTTCAATCTTGTAACTTAGTGTTGCACAGTTTCAAGTCCAAGTACTACTTTTTAAGGAACAAACCAGTAGCGCCACAGTCTCGTCAGAGACTTCTGGTTGATTATCTACCATTTCTGCTTACAGAGTCGTAACGATGTATGCAGAACTGCATGTGCCGCATATATACCTATATTTCAAGGTCTATGCTATACTATAATACAGGCAGTAAATCCTTCTGTGTTCTAGGTCGAATTATCCCGGTACCAAATCATCCCATCAACGGATATGTAGTGTACTCTGACATATTGTTGAACCTATTAGCCTAATTAGGGCCTACCTATGTATGCCAATGTATGACTTTCCCTTTGACAATGTGTGAATGTTAAACACCTAATGATATGGACATAGGGTATTATGTTGTAACAGGTAAGAAGCACAAACACTTATTTCTGTAAGCATGGCATATGTTTTTATATACTATGGGGGTAGGCCTACTATATACACAGGGCATCCCTGTGAAACAAGTGCCTGTGGTCAACTAATACTGATTAGTCCAGTCTATCATGAAACATCAAACAGATTGCAACAATAGTTCTTTTGTTATAAATAAACTCTAGAATGTACAAAATAAATGTATAATAAAAAATCTAACAAAATATGATGAAGGGAAAGCATTACTTGGGTTCATAATTTCTTATGAAAATTACTATAGGTAAAGGGGCATATTAACTCTTGTCAATTTTAGTAAATTTTGGTTAACTTTTTGATGCATTTTTAGCTCACTCCAACAAAGTTTGGGGGAGCTTATGTCATATCCTCGTCCTCGGTGTCCCAGGTTAAAGTTTTTGGAGCAGGTCCGACCGTTACCAAGAAACTGTACGTAAGGCCTATCTGAACCAAACTTGCAATTTGATGCATATGCATCAAGAGATGAACACTACCAGAGTTGCTTCAGATGCTGTATTTGACCTACATTTTCCAGATGAGTGACCAGGTTAGAGTTTTTGGAGCAGACTGATCATTCCAGTGTAACTTCAAGCCCTATCTAGACCAAACTTGCATGGATGATGCATCAAGGAATGAACACTTTCAAATTTGCATCAAATGCTGTAATTGACCTATATTTTCTGGATAATAAGTTTTTTAAAGTTAGAACAAATAACTGCAAGCCATATGAGACCAAAATTGCATGAATGTTGCATCTAGGGATGCACACTACTATAGATTATTAGGTTAGTATGGACTTTGCCTTACATAAAGATAATATTCTTTGAGGTGGGCTCTGTAATCTCTAATTACCTACTTTTGAATAATGAAGCAAATTTATTGAAATAATTTTTGTTCATCAAAGAATCTTGTAATTTTTTATCCATTGATAATAATAAAAAAAAATATGTGGATGCTTTGGTATACAAGCATCAGGGTTGTCCCTAAGACCTGGGGGCAGGGGAATTTCCCCACCTTTAGTGACATGATCCCCAGGTTACCCTGGTAACCCCCCTCATCCCCTGTTAAGGAAGGAACCCCAGACCCCCTTTTACTTTTTTAATGTCCCCTGCTGTGTAAAGTGACATTTATAGATGCAGATAGCTCAGATGGTAGAGTATCTGACTAGAGGTTCAGGGGGCCCTGTGAGGTTCAAATCCCGGTATAGTCTGTCACATTTTTCTCCTCTCCCATTACATTTATTTAAATTAAGTTAGAACTTTGCATTGTGGCTGCGATAACCCAGTCAAATCCTGTGGTCAAGGCACCAAATCTGTAACAGGAAAGGAGGCTGGCCCGGGTTTGAATCCTGGTCTGGTCCTTCACATTTTTCTCCTCTCCTGTAACTTTCTTAATGGCTACTTTCTTAAAAAAAAAATGGAGAAGTTCTGAAGATGAGAAAATAAGACATATGGACAGACAGGGAACAAGAACAATATATATATATATATATATATATATATATATATATATATATATATATAATTATATATATATATATACCCCCTGTACACTGTATATTTAAATACCTGAACTTTCTATAGAACAGGTAAATATGATTTCTGTTTGGTAGTTTGTAATGCTGTGAATGCATGAAGTACGTGATAGAAACATGCTTTTAACCATGTTAACTCTTAATTCATATGTGGACAGCTAGTCATTTTTTATCACATCTGCTTAAAGGCATTATGAATGATGTAATTCATAATATTACTCTTTTGTTGTTTTAATAACACACAATTACATGAATTAACAATGATTACATCCAATTTGTGCATCAAATGAATACCAACATTTTGCAATGCTGATTTTACAGTTTCTTCAGTAATATTTATCAGATGCAATAAATATAAAGTGCACTGTACATCTTGTAAAGCCTCCAGTAAATGTCAAAATGGGTAATGTAAGGTAGTCAGAGTGCATTAGAGGAAGCAAACTACAAACATTGACTATGGTGCCAAAAAAACCCTCTTGAAGCCCCCTACTGTATGCTAACACAAGCAGAATGTACCCGATGCATCATTTATCATACCATTTGCCTATCAAATGAGGAACAACTTTCTGTTTGATTGACAGGTCAGCCAACCATGCTTCCTTAAAATCTGAGATTGCATGTTTTGATGATTTCCTGTCCATGTTTCAAGCCCTTTCAACTTTTAGAATATAAAACATGTACACTGTCACAATGAATGTAATATACCTATTCTAAATTTGTTTTTTTAGGATGGTTGAAAATTCAAATGAAAAAAAGTGTACTAGTTTCTAATTAAGGTGGGGCCTTTATTACGGTAATACCATTTCTTGAAAACTATATGTCTGCCAGCACAACACTGCTGTTTTTGTATCTTAACTAAATGATAACCAGGTTCCTGACTGTCAAACCATTTTTTATTTTAAAACATATTTAGATGTTAACAAAATAATTATTATGCATTCCTAGCTGTGTCCAATTGGACTGCATTTGTTGAGGATTTGATAAGCAAGCTTTTGAGATATCATATACATGTATTCCAGAGTATTTAAAACATCAAATATTTTATTTCACTAGCACCTGTACAGCAGGACTTTTTGGGAACTTTAAAATAAAAGTATTTTATTTAGATGAGTTTGCCATAGAACTCCCCTACCATCTCCCTAATAAGATACATAGTAGTTTTTAGCTCACATAGGTGAAAACGTGTGAACTTAATTATTTGATTAAAGTTTGTCTGTCGTCTATTGTCAGAACCACTGGGCCACTTTCAACTAAACTTGTTACAAAGCATCCTGAGGTGAGCTACACTGTTTTTCAAAGGGAGATAATTTTTTTAAAGTACAGAAATCTTCAAAATTGTCACAAGAATCATGCAGAGGAAAAGACAAAACATATGTGAAAGCTTCATTTATCTCGAGTTAGATTCATTCCAAAGAGAGGATTTTTGATTAATCCCACTTTAGAGTCAACCATAAAGTTTAAGATTTATAATTGTACCATGGTTCCTTATAGTAGATAATATATATTTCTAAAAACATTTTGAAGCATCGTTTTTGCTTATACCTTTATAATTTTTATCATTCTTTTTTTTTCAGTATGCAGTTTGGAGTGAATTCCTAAGTGAAATGTCTGAAGAATCACATTCAATATAGCTTACATGGCCAGATATAGATTACAATGAGTTCTCATCATACTGTCTTGCGGCATGACCACTCAAAAACTTATAAAGTTACCGGAACAGAGACACCTTTGTGGGTCAAAATTGTGAGTGCTGGAGCAGGGGCATGTATCGCTGAAATATTTACGTTCCAGTTTGACACCGCCAAAGTCAGACTGCAGGTGAGAGGGCTCGTTAAATCTTTGATTACCCGCCATTGTTTCATAATCGGTATATTGTATGTGGAATTGTACTTTACACGTTATATAGTACAGCACGAATCATTAGATTCATGTAACTCTGATGGATACATTGATTAATTATAAATAATATACTATTGAAAAATGCAGAGAATTTGCAGACCATCACAATGAATCTCAATTAATGAAGTACATGTATGTATTGTTACCTCATATTGTAACAATATAGATCAAAATTATTAAGCTTTTTGGGTTACAGATTGTCACTGTGAAGTGTTTATGTACAGGTTCAGAGTATGCAGGATGGACCAATGAGGTACAAAGGTGTATGGAGAACCATTGGGACCATGGCAAAAGAGGAAGGCATAAAGGGTTTATACAGAGGGCTAACCCCTGCCCTACATCGTCAGCTTGGCTTTGCCACCATAAAACTGGGATGTTACGACAGCACAAAACACTTCTACACAGACTTACTCTATCATGGCAAGCAGTTGCTATATTTGAAACAGAATTGGAAATTTTTCAACATTTTGGTCCATTTTCAACATTGATAAATGCTGTTGTTTCTTTGTAACAGATAAAGAGATGCTTGCTCATGTTCCTGTAAGTATTCGGATACTGGCAGGAGTAACAACGGGAGTCCTAGCAGTGGGATTCGCACAGCCTACAGAAGTCGTCAAAGTGCGCATGCAGGCCCAGTTTGGGACAAACAAGGGAAGATACTCTGGCACAATGCAAGCTTACAGACATATCTACATCACAGAAGGGATTAAAGGACTTTGGCGTGGTACATTACATGTATCAAGAATAAATAGAGCATTACAATACACCTCCCTTATTATCAAAAACACTGAAATATCCTCAGACCACATTGAATTTTTACCATTGGGAACTTAGATTGCAAAAAATTCATGTAGAATTGTAGGTTGCTGGAGTCTGGAAGGGTGCATCAATTGAAAGAGAAAAATTAAAGTCAGATGAAATATTGCATTCATGATTATAGGGTAAAAAATACACTTTGATTTTTTGCAGGATGTGTCCCAAACATGACAAGGAATGGGATCATTAACATATCTGAGGTTGTGACCTATGATATAATCAACGAGTGCATAATTAGGAATCAGATACTCCAGGATGGGATGCCATGTCACTTAGTGTCAGCCATAGCAGCAGGATTCTGTGCAACTGTTGTTTCATCACCAGTGGATGTAGTGAAGACTCGCTATATGAACTCTGTTAAATCTCAGTATAACAACATACTTCACTGTACAATGTCACTCTGGAAAAACCACGGCTTCTTTGGATTTTACAAAGGGTAAGTTTAGAATGACTAGTAGACTAATTGTTCTCGAACAATTAGAGGTCTTTCCACCTTCTTTAAATTTCTTTAATTTTTATATTTTACTCTCTAAAGTTAATTTTTATACAAAAAGAATCCAGAAATGGCTTGAAAATAGAAAAAAATGAAAATTTTGAAAATTTTGAAATGACCTTGACCTTTGACCTTTACCACACATTAAAGGTCAAAGGTCAAGAATCACATTGCAATTAGTTTCATGCTTCTAGGACTTATACTTTTAAAGTTATAAGGCCTACTATTAAGCGCAAAGCCGTTAAAGGGCGATAACTCATATAAAGGGTCATCAGATCCTTTCGCATTGAATAGATTGAAGTTGCGTCTAAAGACCCTGAAGACATTAGTGAAGGTTTGATGTCTCTACGGTCTACGGTTTCAGAGGAGTAGCGAAAACAAGGTTTTTCGCACAAGGGGCAATAACTTTCAAAGGGGTTAAGCTTAGGGGACAAGAATGAAATCTTTGAAATAGTTTTAGAAGGACATATTAAAGATGCAAAGGCATATAGTATATGTTGAAAGACAAGAGAGTTATAAATATCTCATAGTTTGAATGACCTTGACCTTTGACCTTGACATAAATTTCAAGGTCAAATGTCAAAGAATTCAATGCAGTTGGTTTCATGTCTCTACGACTTATGGTTTTGAAAATTTTTAATTTTTCATGAATATCAAAAACTTTCAGGGGCAATAACTCATTGAAGTGGTCAACAAATTCTTTCGCAATGAATAGATTGAAGAATCCCCTCAATTAGTCAAAGACATTGGTGAAGGTTTCGTACCTCTACGGTTTACGGTTTCGAAGGAGTAGCGATAACAAGCTATTCTTGCGAAAGGGGCAATAACTTCGTAAGAGGTCAAAGTTCAAACATGGGGGGTCGTTTTTCGGAATAACTTTTAATATCCAGTATCATGAACTATAAAGTTTTTCGATAAGTCTTGCGGTTTCAAAAGTCCGGGAAGAAAAATAATAATAACTAGTAGACTAATTGTTCTCGAACAATTAGAGGTCTTTCCACCTTCTTCGAATTTCATATATTTTTCATATTTAACTCTCTAAAGTTAATTTTTATTCAAATAGAATCCATAAATGGCTTGACAGTTAGAAAAAATGAAAATTTTAAAAATTGTGAGATGACCTTGACCTTTGACCTTGAACAAATATTCAAGGTCAAAGGTCAAGGGTCACATTGCACTTGACCCCATGCTTCTACGACTTTTAGTTTTAAAGTTATTAGGTTTAATAGTAAGCGCAAAGACATTAAAGGGCGATAACTCATATAAGGGGTCATCGGATACTTTCGCACTGAATAAATTGAAGTTGTGTCTAAAGACCCTGAAGACATTAGTGAAGGTTTTGTGCCTCTATGGTTTACGGTTTCTGAGGAGTAGCGATAACAAGGTTTTCAATAAAAGGGGCAATAACTTTTAAAGGGGTAAATCTTAGGGGACAAGTATGAAATCTTTGAAATAGTTTTAAGAGGACATATTAATGATGCAAAGATATTTAGTATATGTTGAAAGACAAAAGAGATATAAAAAGAGCTTAATTTCTCATATATTGAATGACTTTGACCTTTGACCTTTGCATATATTTTAAGGTCAAAGGTCAATGAATCTTATGCAGTTGGTCCCATGTCTCTACGACTTATCGTTTTGAAAATTTTTAATTATTCGTAAACATCAAAAACTTTCAGGGGCAATAACTCATAAAAGGGGTTGACGAATACTTTCGCAATGAAAAGATTGAAGAGTCCCCTCAATTAGTCGAAGACATTTGTGAAGGTTCCGTACCTCTACGGTTTACGGTTTCAAAGGAGTAGCGATAACAAGCTATTCTTGCAAAAGGGGCAATAACTTCGTAAGAGGTCATAGGTCAAACACGGGGGGTCGTTTTTCGGAATAACTTTTGATATCCAGTATCATGAACTATAAAGTTTTTCGATAAGTCTTGCGGTTTCAAAAGTCCGGGAAGAAAAAGAAGAAGAAGAATAATAATAATAACTAGGAGACTAATTGTTCAGAGAACAATTAGAGGCCTTTCCACCTTTTTAAGTGTTTCCATGTCATTTGGGCTGAAAAAAGGAGAAAAATGCAAAAAATGAAAAGAAAAAAAAAATGCTCCTCCAGCTGGGATCGAACTCAAAACCCTTGGGTTGAAAGGCAGGTGCGCTAACCATTCGGCCACGCATTCCGATAACACACGTAAGTTAATTGTTTAAGACTACAAAAGAAATGCAAGCGTATTTTTAGAATCGGTAGGGGAAGAAAGAAGTTCCGTAAAAGGAAATAGTTCCTGAATTTGCAAGCAGTATATTAAATAATAAGGGACGGACTGCGTAAGAAAACATTAACACTGTTCCCTAATGAAAATGTATTAATGGACTGTAGCCCGATTCATCGATATTGTGAGCATGCTGATTTTTTTTGTAAATAGCTTTGTTGTAAGCTTAAAAGATCGGGTTCGGATTTTAACATTTCTGACTGAATATCCTGAAATAACTATGAAACATTTAAATAAGCATTTCTTTGGGTTAAATTAAATATGTGTATCACAAATTAAACTCCCAACATGCATTTTTAGAAGGGAAACACGACAATGAAAGTGAGAATTGTTTTTGATCTACCGAAAATCGCTATTTCTGGAAACTGATTAATTCTAAATAAAAATCAAATAAATTCCAAATGTAAAAGAAAGAGAGAATGCTTGGTATTAAAATGTCGTATCATATCAGGAGAATCGAATGCTGCTAACGACATCTGAAGAAATAGCCGATAAAAGGTTTAGATCATTTCTTCGTTCACCTGCACTTTAATTACAAACACAACAGAACTTGTAGTTTTTGCCGTGAAACTTCAAGACTTCTATAAACTTATAGGACTCACCGTAAAACTCTCCAGAAACTTTCTCTGAGGTCTATACTACAATTGTACCAAATATGGTGTCGATCCGAGGTCTGGTTTGAATTTGACAGAAATATTCTACGTTGTTGTTGATGTGATTTTTTTTTTTAAGAAGGGGGGGGGGGGGTAGGTTAATTATTTATTTTATGCCTCTTTTAAACAAAGAATTGTAACTACTTCCAATTCCTTAAGCCTGATTGTGACCTTGGGTCAAGGTCAAAGGTCAAGGTCATTCAAAAAAAAAAAAATAAAAAAAAAAACCCAAGAAATCTTTACTTTCTGTCTTTTTACCAGATACTGGAGCTGGATGCATGTCCTAGCTTTTCTATTTGACCTAATGTCAAGGTCAAAGGTCAAGGTCAAAGTTCAAGGTCATTTGGTGAATTGCTATATTTTACACATATATAAGGGATTTCTTATGTTTTTAAATGACTTTGACCTTTGACCTTGACCTATATTTCAAGGTCAAAGGTCGAACATGCCCATGCAGTTGATCCCATGTCTCTAGGATACACCGTTTTAAAAAAAAGTTCATTAAATGTAAGCAGCGTAAACTTTCAGGGGCAGTAACTCATACAAGGGACCAAAGAATGCTTTTGCAATGATAGAATGAAGAGAGTACTAAATGAGTCGAAGACACTGATGAAGGTTTGGAATCTCTACGGTTTACGGTTTGGGAGGAGTAGCGATAACAAGGTTTTGTTGCACTAGGGGTGACAACTTTTGAATGGGTCAAGCTCGGGGGACAAGAATGAAATCTTTGAAATAGTTTTAGAAGGACATATTACAGATGCAAAGATATTCAGTATATGTTGAAAGACAAAAGAGATATTAAAAAAGCTAATTTTCTCATATTTTGAATGACCTTGACCTTTGACCTTCACAAAAATTTCAAGGTCAGAGGTCACAAAATCTAATGCAGTTGGTCCCATGTCTTTACGACTTATCGTTTAGAGAATTTTGTCATTATTCGTAAACTTCAAAAACTCTCAGGGGCAGTAATTCATTAAAGGGCTCGACAAATCGTTTCGCAATGAAAAGATTGAAAAGTCCTCTCAAGTAGTCGAAAACATTGGTGAAGGTTCTGTATCTCTACGGTTTATGGTTTCGAAGGAGTAGCGATAACAGGCTATTCTTGCGAAAGGGGCAATAACTTCGTAAGAGGTCATGGGTCAAACACGGGGGGTCGTTTTTCGAAATAACTTTTAATATCCAGTATCATGAACTGTAAAGTTTTTCGATAAGTCTTGCGGTTTCAAAAGTCCTGGTGAGAAATAAAATAATAATAAACATAAGCATTTCAAGAGGTCTTTCCACAGAAAGGTGGAAAGACCTAATAATAAACATAAGCATTTCAAGAGGTCTTTCCACAGAAAGGTGGAAAGACCTAATAATAATAAACATAAGCATTTCAAGAGGTCTTTCCACAGAAAGGTGGAAAGACCTAATAATGAGTTACATTCTGAATGTAAAAAAAGATGTGTCGGTGCCTCTGTTTGAGATTGGGAACCTCTGGCATGCCAGTCCAGTGTACTATCACATTTTGTTGAAAACATTTGAAGATATTTAAGATTGTCTGGTTTAATTTATTATCTACTAGATGAAATCCCGCACAAGTGTCCGGGAAACTGAATTTTTACCACTGGTGAAGGAACAATACGAACAATAAATCTTATAGTTTCTTTGGATTTTACAAAGGGTAAGTTTAGAATGATAATGAGTTACATTCTGAATGTAAAAAAAGATGTGTCGGTGCCTCTGTTTGAGATTGGGAACCTCTGGCATGCCAGTCCAGTGTACTATCACATTTTGTTGAAAACATTTGAAGATATTTAAGATTGTCTGGTTTAATTTATTATCTACTAGATGAAATCCCGCACAAGTGTCCGGGAAACTGAATTTTTACCACTGGTGAAGGAACAATACGAACAATAAATCTTATAGTTTCTACTTACAGTTATTATAGTCTTAATATAAGAAGGAATACTTCAAATTATCATATATTCAAATCTTGCAGTTACTGTAGGAACACAAGTAGGTGAACATACCCTTATATCACTTAAATCAAGTTTTGATTGAATAATTCACTATTGATGTTTTATCAAGTATTAAATGATTGCTTGATGTCAGTTTCATTAAAAAATTGCTAGCAACTTAGATCCACCAACCGTAACCAAGGTGGTTACGGTTGGCAGATCTAAGTTGCTGGCATACTCTCTTTTTTTGCTATTTCAGGGCTGTTTATCGAAAAAAATATTAGACTTTGATTTAAATTTATTATAATTACTATGCTAGTGAAATCCAGATATATTTTACGGACATCTTCTTATATGTAGTGTAATGTTAGAGGAGTAAGTATGAACTCTGGTGCAGGCATTTCGGAATTTATTTGCAAAATTTATAAATTTGTTGTTACTGAAAAGGTGGATATTACACACAATTATCCAACTTATTTAACCAAAAAAGTGATTGCAGAATTTTGAGTGATATGCAGGTGTAGGACACTCAGCATTATACTCAAAGATTATGTGTTTACATAAAACATTTAAATTTTTACATGAAATTTTTATTTTTGAGTGCAATATTCACTCTTTCCTAGAACATTAATATTTCACTTCCTTTATTATGGTCATCATTGGGAACATGTACATTATTGTGTTCTTCGTGAACAGTATTTTAAAATCATAAAATTCAAGCTGTTTATACAAGAAGGTTCAAATACCACTGTATGTAGAAACTAATGTATATATATATACAGTCAAACCATATCTTAAATTTATTATAATTACTATGCTAGTGAAATCCAGACATATTTTACGGACATCTTCTTATATGTAGTGTAATGTTAGAGGAGTAAGTATGAACTCTGGTGCAGGCATTTCGGAATTTATTTGCAAAATTTATAAATTTGTTGTTACTGAAAAGGTGGATATTACACACAATTATCCAACTTATTTAACCAAAAAAGTGATTGCAGAATTTTGAGTGATATGCAGGTGTAGGACACTCAGCATTATACTCAAAGATTATGTGTTTACATAAAACATTTAAATTTTTACATGAAATTTTTATTTTTGAGTGCAATATTCACTCTTTCCTAGAACATTAATATTTCACTTCCTTTATTATGGTCATCATTGGGAACATGTACATTATTGTGTTCTTCGTGAACAGTATTTTAAAATCATAAAATTCAAGCTGTTTATACAAGAAGGTTCAAATACCACTGTATGTAGAAACTAATGTATATATATATACAGTCAAACCATATCTCAAACTCAGTGGGACCGAAAAAAACTCAGAGATATCCAGGGATTTGAGATATCCAGGGTAAAATACTTCAAAGAATAAAGTGTTTTGTTTTGTAAACCACTTCAACATATCCATGGTATTCCAGATATCAGTCTTTAAGATACTGAAGTTCACCTGTACATGTATAAATTGTGTATACATTTTATATACCAAATGATTTTTTGCAGATTTTATCCAGCACTAGTGAGACTTGGGACTTGGAATACATTTACATTTCTAAGCTATGAAAAAATAAAGCTGCTTCTTCATCCGAATCCCTTATCATACACAGTAATTCCAGCTCAGAGTGTAAATAAGACAACAAAAGTACATCTAGATGGAAAACGTAGATGATGAGGGGTTATGAAAGCCTGTATTGATATAAGCATGAGTACAGTAAATATCTGTATATGTGATAACAAATATAACAAATCCCTCAGAGACAAGATTTTAACATGTTTTAAAATTAATTTCTTTTTACGAATTCTAGTCTTTCACCTGTTTATGGAGGGTATACTGTGTCATATGTACATGTATGTTTACTCAGGGTGCATTTGATTGTGTTGAACACTCTAAATGCTTTAAATTGGTGCTAAAGTTAGTACAATTAAAATTCCAGATACTTTTATTTTTTATTAGCTTATCTAAGCCGAAGGCTCAAGTGAACTTTTCTGATCAAATTTGTCCGTTGTCTGTCTTTGCAGTTGTTGGTATCTTTTCACAATTTTATCTCTTTCTTCAGAACCACTGGGCCAATTTCAACCATATTTGGCACAAAGTATGTTTGGGTGAAGGGGATTCAAACTGTTCAAATGAAGGACCACATCCTCCTCCAAGGGGAGATAATAAAGATAGTGAAAATTGGTTGCAGTCATTTAGCAAGAGGCCCAAGGGCCTTGAATCGCTCTTCTGATAAACTGTACAACCTAACACTTCTATTTGAAGCCTCTAAGTATCCTGTATATTTGGATAAACCCTTGAAATTCCAAAGGTAGGTCATCATGACCTACATTTTAGATGAAACACTTGGAGAACCCAAGATGATTCTAAGCCAATTAGTACCTGAGAGTTGGTCATGGTGACTTACTTTTCACTTGTCATTCTCTGAGGACCCAAGATGCATCAACTAAGTTTGATGATTCACAGTCACAGTGACCTACTTTTCAGATGACATACTAGTGACCTCCTTTTCAGTTGACTTACTCTGCGGACCCAAGTTGCATCAACTGACAAAGTTTGATGATTCTAAGCCAATTAACTTCCTGAAATATTTAATTAAAGCCATAAATTTTCAAAAGTAGGTCATGGTGACCTACTTTTCAGTCGACTTGCTCCGAAGACCCAAGATGCATCAACTGACAAAGTTTGATGAATCTAAGCCAATTAGTACCCAAAATATTTAATTAAAGCCATAAATTTTCTAAAGTAGGTCACGGTAACCTACTTTTCAGTTGACCTACTCCTAAGATCCAAGATGCATCAACTGACAAACTTTGATGATTCTAAGCCAATTAGTACCTGAAATATTTAATTATAGTCATATAAATTGAAAGTAGGTCACAGTGACCTACTTTTCAGTTGACATTTTTTGAGGACCCAAGATGCATCAACTTACAAAGTTTTATGATCATAGGCCTTAAAATGTCCAAATTATGCCTCTAAAAGGCTTTGAAATCGAATGCCTGCAAAGTTCAAAATGTAGGTCACTGTGACCTACTTTTTAATAAATATGTTTTATGGCCCCAAGATGCATCATCTTACAAGATTTAATGATACTAAACCTCTCAGTATTCGAATTAATGACCTTAATTGTTTTGAAAAAGATTAGCCATAAAATTCAAAAGTAGGTCAAGGTGACCTACTTTTTAGTCAGTGTACTTTGAGGACCTAAGATACATCAACTGACAAAGTTTGATGATCATAGGCCTTGGCCAAGGGGTTCTTGAGTTATGGCCCATATTCTAAAAAAGTTTATGCACACCGCACAAATGGCCATAGCATTTGCTCTTTGAGCCTTCGGCTCAGAAGAGCTAAAAATCTCATGAGCCACTGGACCAGAAAAGTTGAAACTTACATGAAAGCTTCCTGACATAGTGTAGATTCAAGTTTCTTTAAATCAAGTCCTCTGGTCATAGTATGAGGCTACTATGGGCGATCAAAGTTTTACATGAGAATATATGGGGAAAAAATCTTTTAAAACCTTCTTCTCAAGAAAGCAAAGCCATGATCAGTCTCATATTTAAATGGAAGCATCTTCAGGTAGTGTAGATTCAAGTTTATTCAAATCATGACTCCTGATTATGGGGTTGGGCCACAATGGGCCAACAAGGTTTTACATAAGAATGTATAGAAAATCTAATTTAAGAATAGCAAAGCCATGATTAGTCATATTTATATGGAAGCATCCTCAGGTATTGTAAATTCAAATTTGTTCAAATCCTGACCCCTTAGGGTAGGGCAGGGCCACAATATATATAATCTAAACTTTACATAGGAATATATAGGGGGGACAACTGCTGATGCAGAACAGATCTAGAAGGGCAATAGGACTTAGGTGAGCATTGTGGTCTATGGGCCTCTAGTTCCGGAACAGAATGTAGTTTTAAACAATAAAATGCTTTCTTTGGTTGTTAGTACGGGAATTAATGTTGCAGCTAATGCAGAAAAAATACATATCCCGCGTAAGCGGGCTATGTAAATTTTTTCTACCATAGCTGCGACTAACAACCAAAGAAAGACATTTTATTGTTTATATTTATATCTGTATAAATAATCATTTAAGGTAGGATTAAAAAGACTAATTATTGTATTATTGACATGTACGTCATAGTACATTTCATTGATGGAACAGCCACTGATCAAGAAATCTGTACAGGTGATATGCCTAGTGTTGTCTACGAAGTGATAAATGGCAATGGTTTCCTTTAGAAATAAAGGAGGAAATACTCAGTGGATTTAAAATCTTCAACATATAATACAATTTATTTGATGAATGATTTGGAGATTTGTTTTACCTGCAATTTCCTTGTAAGAAACATTTGATATCCTGATTTTAAGTGAGGCTGCATCACACATTCATAGCAAACGGATATAATGATACATGCCTATAATGAGATTTCATTTTTCAGCCATTGTTAATGCATATAAAGTCTGTCCAACATCATCAAATTTTTTCATTACATATCTGAATACATAAATACCTTGGCTTTAAAACGTGGTTAAATCAATAAATCATTTTATTCCTAAACTTTCTGCTTTGACACAGCAGCAAATTCAAAGTGTACAGGAATTTAACATTAAAGAAAAATTGCCACCACTGCCGAAGAGGGATCCATTATTATTCTTGATTTTCTTCTTCTTGACATCAATAACATAATGATTTAATGCAAACCAATTCATAGAAAAATCTCTTGAAATAATAGCATTTCCCTCTTGTGCTTGGCAGCAGCTGCCGAAATTTACATGGTAAATTTCCGTTCACTTTGAAAAATTGTGTATGTACATGTATCCTATCTAAATAAAAATGACTGAGTTAAATTCTTTTGTTTAGAGTCAGGCTCATACTCTACGATAAAGTGCTTATGGGTAGAGGGTGTGCAGTGACCTTGAACCAATTTTCTAGATGAAAGATCAAGGTCTTTTTGTGAAAAATCCTTGTCTGGAGTATATTTTCTCTCCCCTTGGCCCATCTAGCTCAAACTTACCAATAGAGTGTCCATCAGTAGAAGGTGCAAAGTAATATTGAACCAATTTTCGATCAAAGGTTGAAACCTTTTTGATAAAAATCCTTGTCTGGAGCATATTTTCTCTCCCATTGGCCCAGTCATACTCAAATTTCACTTATAAGAGTGCCTGTGAGTACAGGGTATGTACCATATTGAACCAATTTTCTAGATCAAAGTTCAAGGTTGGAAAACCTTTCTGAGTAAAATCATTGTTTGGAGCATATTTTCTCTCCCATTAGCCAAGTTTGGCTTATACTTCACTTAAGAGAGCTCCTGTGGGTAGAGGGTGTGCATGACCCAGACTCAATTTTTAACAGATGAAAGCCTTTTTGTGTAAAATCCAGAGCATATTTCCCCTCCCCTTGGCCCTACCTGGCTCAGCTTCACCTATAGAGTTCCCATTGGTAGAGGATGTGCAGTGTTCTTAAGCCAAAGTTCTAGGTTAGTGTTCAAGGTAATAGCAAATCTCTGTAAAATTCTTAAGCGTTTTTGGTCCAATCTGGCTGAAATTTTACCCAAAGAGTGCCCTTGGATTAAGGATCTTTCATCTGTACATCCTTTACCAGAAATCACCATCTCAACAATGTTCAAATATTAACAAAGCTGTATTTTCCAATCCATTTTGATATTAGAAAATACAGTTTTGGAAAGGTATATTAATTTATTGACAAAGCTGTATTTTCCCATCCATTTTGATATTAGAGCATACAATTTTGGAAAGGTATTTTCAATATTATGTAAACTGCACATAATTATATAGTTTTGTCCCATTGTGAAATTATTTGTGGTTATGGGAATTGTTATACAATATCTTGACATGTGCCTTTGATTGTAAAATGTATTTATTACAGGCATGCACCTTTTTACTGGTATATACTTGCTTTCAATGGTGACATTATTTTAAATCAAGAAAATGTTTATTAACTTAACCATATGATATTTCAAAAAAAACAATAGAATTGCACATGAAATTTTTTCTTCAATAGAGGGACTCTGTTTCTATTATCTATGGTATACTTGACCTTGTGAAATACTTTGTTTTTAATGTCATCATTTTCCTATTTGTATTTCCAATGAAGAGTTCAGAACTACATGTATTAAGATTTTAGAACGATTATTTAGAAGCTAGTTTGTTAACTATTTTCATAAGAATTTATTTTTTATACCTGTTCTTGCAGTGCCATTTGTTAATTAAAAAAAATGATATCTGACAATGTATTTAAATTAATTTTGGTTGTTTATTAACTTGAAGCTTTACAAAATATGCACCTTCAAGAATTTTGAAATTTTTATCCCATGGGTATGCTATTTCTTAAGGAGGTTTGTTTTGCCTTGGACTACATGTAGAATGAAGCATTGTCATTGGATAACAGATTTCACTTGCCTGCCTTCAGTATTTCTTTGGGCAGCCAAGTTGCAAAATTTGGAAGATAACATGGCAAATAAAGAATTATGTCATCTAAATTAAAAGAGAAAATCATGCTTTTTTGCATTTAATTCATTATGTCCCTACTGATTTGGCATTGCTGCAATTAAATTTAGAGTAGCACCCCTTTTCAGTGATGTAATCAGTAAACAACAAGATGAGAAGTGTAGATTTGCACAGACAAGAAAATTGTTAAATTGTAATTGATCTTGGTAGGTTTGTTACCTGTTATTGATCCTTTTCAAAACAAAACACTTATCTGGTTTGTTGCTGACTGTCCACAGAAATATCACAGGTTGTTCCAGTCCATAGAAGGCTTGACTTTGCCTCTTCTTCCATGGACTTGAACAACCCATAAAATTTCTGTGGACAGTCAGTAACAAACCTAAGGAGTAATAATTTAGACAAGCTTAGTGTCAGGTGGTCAGCAATGTGGGTTTTTTTTTTCCAAGCAAAATACATGCTCAGAACAAAGTCCTACCTCTGGTGGTTCAAAGGATATAGGACAAAACTGCTGTTTTTAATAAGTCAACCTAAAAGATCAAAGATCTTGTGACACACAATATAAATGCCACATGAAGACCCATATATGTTATACATGTATGTTTCACAATTCAAAAAATATGGGCAAGATTCATTTTTTAAGGTAAAGAATGTTCAAGTTCATGAGGTCAGTTACCCTGGTATTTTTTAGAAGTTTGGGACATACATTGTATATTATAAATGCTACTTCACAAATCTAAGTTCTGCCTCTCACAGTTCAAAAGATACAATGTTCATATGATTTGCATTATGAATTTGGAAAGAAAAGTTTCTCAATTCAAATGAGATAGGGTGTGACCTATGGTCGGACAAAGTGTGCCTATATGTGTAAGTGTTGGAGGGAACTGACAAAACAGAATTATATGCCAAAGGAATGTCCCTACATTATTAGAACAAAGTCAGGGTCATGAAAATGGAGAAATTGAAGTTCTTATGGCCATAACTTAATAACACAGACATCAGGGCCATACCTGGAAAATGACTCAAGGGTGTCATTCTGACAATATCATTTAAAAAGTCACTAGAACAAAAGTATGATAGTTTTCTTTGCCACATCACTGTAAACAGCTTGTACATGTTAATGAAAACCCAGACAGCATAACATAAATGAAATATGATATAAAATATATATGTACATATCCTAACAGAGGAAAGTTACAAGTACTTTAAAATGAAAAAAAACAAAACAAAACAAAAAAAAACAACAAAAGATTGAAATAAGGTTCAATAAATAAGGTCTTTTTAAGCAGGAAGCAGATGAATGAAAATCCAATTCTGTTGTCTTTTTTATGTCATACAAAACTGTTGAGGTTGACAAACTATTGAAGCTTCTGTGATCTGGGCATATTATGTCCTTTCTAGATGGACATAAAATCACACCTGTAAGATTTTCCACCTGTAATTAGACCAAGGTAAAGAGAATTGAATTTCTGATTAAAACGTTTTAACAGTGATATGGTTTATGTACAGAACATGCTTGGTTGGACATAGAAGTTGTTGAAAGATACAATATGTGTGCTTGCAATAATGATGCTCCATTAATATGGGAAAAAAATTAAGGTATGGACTCTTGTAATAACTATACACAGACTTACATCAGAAAACAAAAAAAAAGTTAATCTATAACAGTTAAATTAACAAGTTTTGAAGTTACTAAAGAAGCTACTTATTCAGTATTCTTTGCTTACCTTAATAAACTTTCCATACGGACAAGTCATCCATCCTGTGCTCTTCAGTTTAACATTTAACATACCATTAACACATCGATGGTGATAACATTGTCCTGTCATTTCCATAGATATATTCTAGAAGATCATGGTTAAATTCAGTTCTTTATAATTTGCAAACATATAATGTAGCAATTGTGTATACTGTAACTTTATAAAATGTCATTCATTTCTCCATTTTGAATTGCTGTGATTTACCTGTGCTGTAAGATTGGATCTGAAACATCGACTCTGGCTTGAAAGTATTTCAAAATCAGATGTAGTAGAGTTGTATCCTTTAGAGCACTCCAGCTGAGAAAAAAAAACAGTAACTTGTTCATCATCAGTATTTAATTCCTAAAATCTCTTTACGATTTCACTCTACATGAAATTTAATAATTTGCATAATAATGAGAAGAAAATTTTTCCACAATAAATTTAATTCATATTCTAGCATAGCAAAAATGATATACACACCCCTGGTTGTGGGATAAAGACAGAGTTGCCTCCCTTTGTACTTGGAGATTTACAAATGGCTTTGTCCTTGTGGAGAAAATGACAACCATATTCTCTGTATTGAGAGCATTGAGTAAGTCAGTCTTATTTTAAAGTGAAATAATTCAGTATCATTTTACAAGAGGCTTAAGGGCCTAGAATCACACTTCTGATTAATTGCATACAACCTATCACTTTTATTTTTAGCCTCTTGGTATCCTACATGTACATATTTAAATTAAACCTTGAAATTCCAAAAGTAGGTCATCATAATCTACATTTGGTTTACATACTCTGAGAACTCAAGATGCATCAACTGACAAAGTTTGAAGATTCTAAGCCCCTTATTATCTTAAATATTCAGATATAGCCATAAATTCCAAAAGTAGGTCACTGTGACCTACTTTTTTGATTAACATACTCGGAGATCCCAAGATGCATCAACTGACAAAGTTTGATGAATTTAAGCCTCTTATTATCTGAAACAGATATTGCCTTAATATTCCAAAAGTACCGGTAGGTTACCATGACCTACTCTTTAGTAGAGATATTCCAAGGACCCAAGATGCATCAAACTGACAAAGCTTGATGATTCTATGCCAATTAGTACCAGAAATATTTATATAAAGTCATGAAAATCCAAAAGTAGGTCACAGTGACCTACTTTTTAGTTGACACACTCAGAGGACTCAAGATGCATCAACTGACAAGGTTTGATGATTCTAAGCCAGTTAGTATCTGAAATATTTAAATATAGCAATAAAATTTCAAATATAGGTCACTGTGACCTACTTTTTTGGTTGAAATATTTTGAGGCCTTTGTATGCATCAACTCACAAGGTTTGATGATCATAGGCTTCAAAGTGTCCAAAATATGCCTCTAAAACATTTTGAAAAAAAAAAATACTTGCAAAATTCAAAAAGTAGGTCATGGTGACTTTCTTTTTGATAAATATGTTTTATGACCCCAAGATGCATCAACTCACAAATTTTAATGATTCTAAACCTCTCAGTATCCGAAATAATGACCAAAAATGTTTTGAAAATGATTAGCCATAAAATTCAGGAAGTAGGTCAAGGTGACCTACTTTTTAGTTGACACACTTCAAGGCCCTATGATACATAATCTGACAAGATTTTATGATCATAGTCTTCAAAGTGTCCAAGATATGCATCAAAATTAAATTGAAAATGAAACCTGCAAAATTCAAAAAGTAGGTCACTGTGACCTACTTTTGAGTCAACATGACATGAAGTCCTAAGATGCATCAACTGACAAGATTTGATGATTCTGGTCCTGGTAGTGGGCAAAATATCAAAGTTTTAACAATTATAAATTTTGGTCAACTTTGAAGTGACCTTGAGACCACGCCCTTTGCCCAAGGGTAATGTTTTGAGCAATTTTTAATTTACAACATATCCTCATCCTTGTGTATAAGTTTGGTGATAATCTGCCTGGTGGTTCTTGAGAAAAAGATTTTTTTAGCAACCACTACTTTTGTTTTTATTTCCCCAATTATTTCCCACTTTTTTTTAAGGGTCACATCCATATTTTTAGTATAAATGAGAGCCATTTGGCCAAGGATAATCTGTGACAAAAATTATCTAATATGAGATATGGCTCATATTACAAAAAGTTGACACACACCATCCAAATGTCCATAGCATTTGCTCTTTGAACCTTTGGCTCAGAAGAGCTTAAATGAAATAAATTCAGAATTTAATGGTAATGGCAGTAAAAACTGGTATAAAATGACTGTTTAAAATTGACATAGCAGTGTGTAATGCAAAATTTAAACTCACCCTTGAATACACATGTGGTTGGATGATGATGAAAGTTTGCACCCCTCACCTTTAAATAACATTTATAAGTATAAAATAAAATGTAAATCATTTCATATACACTGGATAATAGTTTATTTATAAATAAGAACTGACCAGAAAAACAATGTATGTTGGTGTGTGTGTGTGTTGGGGGGGAGGGGAGGGGGGGGGGGGTGGTAATTTTAACAAAGCATAAGTTCTGTAATATTTTCTGGTCCAGTGTTCCTTTTGTTTTAGTCTACCTGAATTTTCAATAGCTTACAAATTAGCAGTAATACCATAGGTCTCCAGAAAGCAATTTTAATACTAAGTATTCTTTCTCAAATTTTTTTGTGAGAATGAAGGGCAATTTTGCCTATTAGCACCACAGGTTTACTCATAAAACTGAATCTGATTTTTGCAACATACTGGTACCCATGAATTGATAATTATTCATGTTATGTTGGTACAACTTGTAAAGTAAGTTGTAACACTAATAAATCTCATTTCACTCTACAATGATACAATAAAGATCAAAACATGTCAAGACTAAGGATGAAAATATGTCAGGTTTATAAACACTTCATGATGTGATCATATTATAAATCTCACAAAAATGCAACGCAACAGGCAGAAATAAATTGCAACAGAATTATTAAAAACCAATCAAAGTTCAACCCTGTGACCAGAACACTATACAGATGCTCCAGCAACTTAACGGAAACTATCTGACCATCTGAATGAACCTTATAGACGTAGCAATAAGACATTGATAAATTATACCATTATGATAGTATCAACAGATTACAGTAGGTAATTAAGGGGATTGCAGTATATAAACAACATTTACATTTGCAAATGTATTTCCTTATATAAAAATACAAATTAAATTGACATTCAATTTTCAATGACATGAAGTTGGTCATGTGATCAGACTTTCTTGCATATAGAAAGCAAACAGCACGAGACATTTGGAAGTCTAGAATGTGACGTCACATGACGTTGTACTTGTATTATGTTGCATTTCCATATAAAAGTCTAAATAGTGCATTTCTTTTCTTTGTAACATAAATAGAAATAAAAATATAAATATAAGAAATAAAATATCATTTGTTAAAGTTTCATTGGGGTTTGACATGAAGTTGGTATGTGATCAAATCTACTATAATGCCCTTTGGGCGTTATAGGATATGATCACATGACCAATTTCATACCACATCCCAATGAAACTCTAAAAAGATATCTTATTTTCTAAATGAAAGCTCAAAATGAATGATTTGATCACATGACCAACTTCATGTCATATCCCAATGAAACTCTAAAAATGATATCTTATTTCTTAAATGAAAGCTCAAAATGAATGCATAATGGAAAATGCAAAACGTCACTGATGATGTTACTGCATGCGCAAGAGGACTAGGTCAAAATATGGATACATCAGGGAAATCTTACAAAAGAAACACAATATAAGAACCTGTAATATTAGAATATAAATACTGTTAATATATGAGAACTTTCAGAGGTTACAATAGGAGCGCACAAAGGAGATCATATATTTAAAACTTCTGTTTTCTATTTAAATTAAAATGTTCTAAGGAATACAAGTGTCACCTGCTTTGTAGCATCATTAAAGATGCAAATTAGTCTCATAGTGGTCAGCTATTAATTTGTTACAGCATTACAGTTCAGGCATTTGCTACCCCCTCCCCCCCCCAAAAAAAAATCTACAGATAGTAAGACTGTGATAGAATCAGAAATTTGATTCCCCCATCCTGAAAGCTAAAATGAAAAATGAAATTGAAATCATTAGAAATAACTATTTATCATTTTATTATGTGTTTAATCCAACAATCCTCCAAATGAGATTTCAGACTGTCGCTACTGCAATTGTCATTCTATAATTATCCATTTTATATACTGATCCCAATTTTTTTATAATACCCCGGTATTTAAATATCAGTTTGTGTGGTAATTGTTTATCATACAGTTTCAAAGTACAGTGTCATACATGTAAGATGTGATGTATAAATGCTAATTATCAAAACCCTGTCTCTGAAAATTCAAAACACACAAGTAAAATTAACTGTCCAGAGTATATTTGCAAAATAGGTCAAAGGTTGAGTGATCTATAATGCTGATATTTTTCATAATACCAGGTAGCATAAAATTATCTCTAAAATGTCAAAAATATGCTGTATATTGGTACTATGAACTATTTTAAAGTAAATCAAAGGTCAAGTTCAAGGGTAATGATGTTAGTAACCATGGTAATTTACGAAACCCATAGTGCCAAGCAATACATTTGCAAAATATCAAATCCATACCTCTTACAGTTCACAAGATATCAGGTGTGACAGATAGACAGATGCTAGGTTAAGTGATCCCAGGTTGTCGCTCTGCTCTCCAGGTGACACAAAAATGAGGAACATATATTTAACAGTACTATCATTCCAATAACAGCGTGTCACTTTGCTTGATCAAAGTGACACGCTGTTATTGGAAATATAGTAAATGTTCAATATGTTATGTATTTGGATATTTCAGCATATGAATCCAACATATGTTCAACATATGTTTAACATACATATATGACAAATACATGTCTGAAACATGTGTATCATATTGCCTATAGTTCATCTGTTGAACATATGTTTAATATATGTTGCTCATTTTATATGATAAACATATGTTGTAATTTTATCTGTGTAATAAGGAAAACCAGAAGTCTCTGATTAGACTGTAGCTCTACTGGTCTGTATGTACAACAAAGGAAAAGTAGCACTTGGATTTGGAACTTTGCAACATGCAACAATAAATAGAATTAATATGTATCTTAATGTAGTCTACTTCTGTGCCAAGTTATATTGAAATCAAACGAAAACTGTAGGAGGAGTAGCGTTTTGAAAGTATTTCACAGAAATTTCTATTTTCAGTAACCATGACAACACCATTCACTGAAATCAAAAACTGAAATACATATTATGTATCGTAGTGTATTCTAATTGTGTGCGAAATTAGACTGAAATCAGACCATAACTGTAGGAGTAACGTTTTAAAGGAATTTCACAGAAATTTCTATTTTCAGTAACCATGGCACTGTTCATCAAAATCAAAAACTGATGCATTAAATTATGTATCTTAGTATATCTTCTTGTATACCAAATTATATTAAAAGCAGACTAAAACTGTCACAGAATTTTTATTTTTACTAACCATGGCAACACCATTCATTGAAAACAAAAAACAATGTACTTACAAAATGTAATTATGTATCTAAGTGAAGTCCACTTGTGTGCCAAGTTACATTAAAATCAGACCAAAACTGTAGGAGGAGTAGCGTTTAAAAGGAATTTCACAGAAATTTCTTATTTTAGTAACCATGGCAACACCGTTCACCAAAATCAAAAACCGATGCAGTAAATTATGTATGGTAGTGCAGTCTACTTGTGTGCCAAGTTACATTGAAATCAGACCAAAACTGTAGGAGGAGTAGCATTTTAAAGGAATTTCCCAGAAATTTTTATTTTTAGTAACCATGGCAACACCGTTCATCGAAATCAAAAACCGATGCACTTAATTATGTATCATTGTACAGTCAACTTGTGTGCCAAGTTAAATTGAAATCAGACCAAAACTGTAGGAGGAGTAATGTTTAAAAGGAATTTCACAGAAATTTCTATTTTTAGTAACCATGGCAACACTGTTCATCGAAATCAAAAACCGATGCACTAAATTATGTATCTTAGTGTAGTCTACTTGTGTGCCAAGTTATATTGAAATCAGAATTAAACTGTAGGAGAAGTAGTGTTTTAAAGGAATTTTACAGAAATTTCTATTTTTAGTAACCATGGCAACACTGTTCATCGAAATCAAAAACTCATGCATTAAATTATGTATCTTAGTGTAGTCTACTTGTTTGCCAAGTTATATTGAAATCAGACCAAAACTGTAGGAGGAGTAGTGTTTTAAAGGAATTTTACAAAAAATTCTATTTTTAGTAACCATGGCAACACTGTTCATTGAAATCAAAAGCCCATGCACTAAATTATGTATCTTAGTGTAGTCTATATGTGTGCCAAGTTATATTGAAATCAAACCAAAACTGTAGGAGGAGTAGCATTTTGAAAAATTGTTTACAGTCAGACGGACAGACAGACGGACGGACAACGGACACCTTACTAATCGCATAAGCTCTTCTGGTCTCTGACCAGTAGAGCTAAAAATCATAAACACAGTGGGTAGAACACAATGCACATGCATTACAGATGCATATAGGTGGCATATATAACAATGCTTTTGATGTTTATTTTAAAATTTACATCCATGATCAAAGTCATCACCATGCTTATCTCTATTCCTACCTGTTAATGTTTTGCATGCAACACACAAATGAGATTTGAACCTTTGCCCCACTGATAATCATCCGCTTGGCTGTAATTAACTCCATACCATCCACTGTCCTCAAAAACAGCTAACGTCATGCGATCAAGAAAAGTCAATTGTGGCTGAAGTAAAGAAAAAAGAATTGTCTCTCAAAGAATTTTAACCTTTTTTATATCAAGAGTTTTTCCTACAGCTTGTATAAAAACTAGTTAAATAATCTAATATTTACTGGTCCTGGACTGGGAGTCATAATAGATCCATACATCTGGTAACTGTCCCAGTGAGAAAGAATTCCTCTCTATGAAAAAAAAAAACTTTAAGTATTTTTAAGAAGAAAAACTTACTTTTCTTTTATCAGATAGAAACAGGCCATCTAATCTTGCTATTTATCCCGCTTCAGACAAATTTGTTGATTACTGATTGGATAAAAGCTAATCACATGATGCCCTGAAATTTTCCATATTATATCTCTGTCCAGGGGTAATATTAAAATTGGGCAGATGATTCCGTTCAAAGTGTTGTTATTGTAAATAAAAATGGCGGCTTAGAAATGGTTTACATACGTACTTAAATTTCTTGTTACTTATGATATTTTATGTTGATTGTTATTGGATTAAAACTTGATATTTTGATAATATGCTCATAGATTTTTTTTTGAAATATTTAAAAAGGTCTTCAGTGGGATAAATTTGTTACACAGTCAGTTAGGGTCCCAATTTGGAGTCATACAGGGTGTGAAATGGAAATCCATATTGGGACTCGGCTTCGCCTCGAATCATAATTAATCATCAGAATTGGTAGCTTCTTTTCATCTTTCAATTCTTTCCAATTATCTGTGCAACACTAAATTACGAACATCAAATATTTCTCCATTCGAAAGTTAGGGACCTGATATGAATTTTACAATTCATCTTCCATTGACTTTGAACTTGCCATAATGACCTTGGGTCAAGGTTATGACATACTCTCATCTCATTAGTAATCTTTATTTGAAGTATCAACTTCCAATACACTACATATATCTATAACAGAGAGATGAACTGTTTTACAAATTTCATACTTTTTCTACCAGTGACCATGAACTTGCCAGAATGACCTGGGTCAAGGTCATGACACACCTTCAGGACTTGAGCAATATTTGAGTGAAGTATGAACTTTAGATATTTTTCATTAATAAAGTTAAGGCCAGACACTTTTGATGCCAGTGACCTTGAACTTCTAGGAATGACCTTGGGTAAAGTCAGTATATATCCTCAGGTCATATGCAATCTTTGTGATAGGTATGAACTTCTAATGTTTTTTATTATGAAATATAGTAAGGAAAGGAATCAAACATTTTTTTTCCAAAAGTAACCTTGAACTTGATCAAATGGACAAGATCATAACACACTTTCAGGTCATTAGCAATCTTTGTATGAGGTATGAACTTCCAATCTTTCCCCATTAGGAAGTTAAAGACCGGACAAAAATTTTAATTGAAGGAATAACCTCGAGTCAAAATCTTGACACACCCTCAGGTCATGAAAAAAATGAACAAACTTTGTACCAAGCTTGAGTTTTCCATGTTTCTCCATTACAAAGTATGGCCCAGACAATTGCATTGATAGACAGGCAACGTGATTCCTATAAAATCTCCCCTACTTTTATTTGCGGGGGGGGGGGGGGGGGGGGGGATAAAAATATCTTTTGCCAATGTTAATAAAGAAAAAGTCAAGAAAAAATCAACAGATATGAAAGAATAATGGCTCTTGGAATTAGAAATTTTACTACATTTATAGCTTTTCCAGACTTCTTTTTCTTAAATGCTTCGTTTGGCCATGACGATTTTTATAATGAGAGTCTTCCTTCTTTGGATATAGATCAAATTCACATTTTGTTTGGTTTGTTGATGTTTGACAGAATTATGGCTATGGCACTCATCACCTCCATTGCTGAATTTTTTCTGCCTTATTTTATAAGGGGATCTAACCTTTACATTCCAGCTGGGACTCAGTATTGCATATATGCAATACACTCAGAATGCTTTATGATACACATACATGTACCTGGTATATTCTAGCACAAAACTGAAAGGATCACCAATAGTTAGGCTGGTCTAAATATATATAATGCTTTATGTTATCAGAGGTTTTGTAAAATGTTTTGAATGTGATTCATACCAAATGAATTCCGTCTATTTCAGGAATAAAATGTACTTTACAAAACATTACTGGTGTTCTTGCAGACATCATCAGAGATATGGACATCAAAATAATGTATAGTTATAATTTCTCTAGATATAAAATATTTGCATATATCAACAATTAAAGTAAAAATACTCCTTGAAATAAAAAAAAAATCTTGCTTATTTAATAACCTCTTCCTGCAAAGCTGGTCCAAACTTGTCTTCTTGACAGTTAAAATGTCTGATGGCTTCTCTTTCTACAGCTGGTGTGAGGAGACGCAAGACCCCATTCACTGTCTGCACTGGGTTATTTCTGATATCTGAGTTGTTACATAAACCTGACAGCTCATCTTTAAAAAAAAAAAAAAGAGATTGTAATTAAGATAAAAAAAAAAACAGAAGTCTCTGACAAGAATGTAGCTCTGCTGATGTGTATTTATAACAAAGATGTATCTCAGCATGGTCTACCTGCATGTGTAAAAAGTCTAATCAGACCAAAACTGTAGGAATAGCATTTTAAAATATTTTAAATAAAAAATTTTTTATTTAGAAACCAAGGAAACACTATTTGTCAAAATCAAAAACATATATACAGTATTGCAGACTATGTCACTTTGTAAAGACCACATCTTGCTGAAACTGGACCAAAACTGTAGGAGGAGTAATGTTTTGAAAGCATATCAAAGAAATTTCCATTTTTAGAACCATGGTAACACCGTTTGTCGAAATAAAAAAAAAAATAATAGAAAAAGTTTAATGTATCTTAGTATAGTGTACTTGTGTACCAAGTACTAATGAAATTTGGACCAAAATTCTAGGAGGAGTAGAATTTTTTTAAAACATAGGTAATCAAAGATTACGAAGCTCACCTAGACGAATGTTATCTACATGTAAGGCAAATTTCACATCATATTTTTTTTCTAGTTAGGGTACATCCCAAGATCAATATCCATGCAAGCTTGATTTAATTATAGATCTGCTCAAAAAACTTTTGACCTGTTTAGTAATCAAGAAAATTTTGGTCAGTTCCAACATCCAAAGCAAGTCTGGAAGTTTTCATCCTTAGATGCACCATCTATGCAAGTTTAATCATAACAGGCCATAATATTATATAGCTACTCCAAAAAATTACCCTGGTCACTCATCTTGAAAATGTACGTCAGATTCAGAATCCAAGGCAAGTCTGGAAGTATCCATCCCTAGATACATCATCCATGCTGATTTGGTTAAAATATGGCTAAAATTCACTCATGTGGAAAATCTAGGTCAGATCCAGCATTCGAAGCAGGTTGGTTAGTGTACATCCCTAGATGCATCATCCATGAAAGTTTGGTCCAGGTAGGGCTTATAGTTACTTGGGAACGAGACTACTCCTAAATCTAAACCTGGTCTCACATGTGGAAAATCTAGGTCAGATCCAGCATCCGAAGCAAGTGTGGTAGTGTCCATCCCTAGATGCATCATCCATGCAAGTTTGGTCCGGGTAGGGCTTATATTTACTTTGGAATGGACCTGCTCCTAAAACTTTAACCTGGTCACTCATCCGGAAAATCTAGGTCAGATCCAGCATCCGAAGCAAGTGTGGTAGTGTCCATCCCTAGATGCATCAACCATGCAAGTTTGGTCAAGGTAGGGCTTATAGTTACTTGGGAATGGACCTGCTCCTAAAACTTTAACCTGGTCACTCATCTGGAAAATCTACATCAGATCCAGCATCCGAAGCAAGTGTGGTAGTGTCCATCCCTAGATGCATCATCCATGAAAGTTTGGTCCAGGTAGGGCTTATAGTTACTTGGGAACGAGACTACTCCTAAATCTAAACCTGGTCTCACATGTGGAAAATCTAGGTCAGATCCAGCATCCGAAGCAAGTGTGGTAGTGTCCATCCCTAGATGCATCATCCATGCAAGTTTGGTCAAGGTAGGGCTTATAGTTACTTGGGAATGGACCTGCTCCTAAAACTTTAACCTGGTCACTCATCTGGAAAATCTACATCAGATCCAGCATCCGAAGCAAGTGTGGTAGTGTCCATCCCTAGATGCATCATCCATGCAAGTTTGGTCCGGGTAGGGCTTATATTTACTTTGGAATGGACCTGCTCCTAAAACTTTAACCTGGTCACTCATCCGGAAAATCTAGGTCAGATCCAGCATCTGAAGCAAGTGTGGTAGTGTCCATCCCTAAATGCATCATCCATGCAAGTTTGGTCAAGGTAGGGCTTATAGTTACTTGGGAATGGACCTGCTCCTAAAACTTTAACCTGGTCACTCATCTGGAAAATCTACATCAGATCCAGCATCCGAAGCAAGTGTGGTAGTGTCCATCCCTAGATGCATCATCCATGCAAGTTTGGTCCAGGTAGGGCTTATAGTTACTTGGGAATGGACCTGCTCCTAAAACTTTAACCTGGTCACTCATCTGGAAAATCTAGGTCAGATCCAGCATCCGAAGCAAGTGTGGTAGTGTCCATCCCTAGATGCATCATCCATGCAAGTTTGGTCCAAGTAGGGCTTATAGTTACTTGGGAATGGGACTTGCTCCTAAAACTTTAACCTGGGACGCCGACGCTAACGCCGACGCCGACACCGACGCCGACGCCGGGGGTATAGCATAAGCTCATCTCGACTTCGTCGAGGTGAGCTAAAAATGTTTACGTACAGACAGGCGGACAGTCAGTAGACCTAAAAATAAGGGATGGCAATCCGATAATTTTTTGTTATCAATTTAGTTGTAAATGTCTATTCAATTTCCACAAACCTTTGCTGTCTACTACAACAGATTTATTAATAAAACACTATGGATCTTGAAGAATAGATGCGTGTAAAATATATTCTAAAATATTTTTATCTCCAAGATGTTGATGATGGCATTTTGCTGAATACATTATAAAAATTCGGAGTGATTTGAAAACTATTGCAATGTAAAAATATTACTAAGTAGAAAATTAGTTGTTTTTAACGCAGAACAAAAAATATTTTTTTTATGAAGATAACTTAAACTTTCATGAGTATTCAGGGATATAATGAGTCTTAATGACAATAAATTATGAGAACTTGTTTTCAATGCTGCTGGGTGGTGTGTCTTTTGAATTTTTAATTGGTTGACTATTTACATTATTTCAGATTCAAAACATTTCCTAAGAGTTTTAATTTTGAAAAAAAAAATTTAAAAGTATATGTTTTTTGAAAAAAAAAATCAATTACATGTAACATAATGAAAATTTTAACTGGTTACAATTTTTCTGACCGTTTAGTCAGTTAACCAGATAACCGTTGCCATCCCTACTTAAAATAAATGCAAGATGTTCAAATTGCCAATATTTATAATATTACAATGTTTTGCACCCTGCCTTATTTGATTTTTATTTTATGACAAACCTTTTAAAGAACATTGTCTGAAATCTTCAAAGAGGCGTTTGGTGAATCCCAGTGTATGTAGCAATTCATGGAGTAACACCTGAAGCACAGCATACTGACACTTTATTTATTAATCAGGAAAAAATTATATTAAAACTAGAGGTAATCGAAAAATGCTTTAATTATATAACTAACCACTATTTAATTTTTTGATATGAATTCACTTCTGTGCCCTAGTATAAAGCTCTAAATTAATCTCCGTCTGACTGCACTAAAAGAATACATGTAAATGTTTATCAACCAAATATCTTGAGTCCTCAAAGATGAATGAACTAAATAAAACCAAAGCAATTGTCTTTGATTTTACCATTTTGATCCTGTCAATTGTGAGGCTGGACACCTTCTGAGGACAAATGTTGATGTATCCAGCTACAGGTCTTCCTCTGTTGTCTTGGTAGCAATATGTGGCATGAGCCAAATGAGAGACATCCTAAAATAAAAATTAAGACTCCCTGAACATCTTCATTTCTTTCCTAATTTAAGTACCACAGAATATTTGTGTACTTAGGAAAACTGCAGTATTTAGGAATACAGGAATAATGGAATACAGTGAAACTTGACTAAAGTGGATGTTGTGTTTTCCAAAATCTAAGCCCCTTTCAGTAAATTCAATTGTTTAAAATGTTGTCTAATTCAGAATGTTGTCTTATCTGACCAATTTCTATGGAACCAGTGGTGGCCTGGATTAGAAAGTTTAACTGTACATATATCCTAACCTCTACACAGGAACTGGAGCTGACTGCCTGGACATACACCACAAAATCTGTGTCTTTCAACCCTTCCCCTGCAGGATACCTCACATTAAGGGGCTCCTCCTTTGTCTCTCCCCATACAGACAGCTCAGACAGGTGTTCACTGGGAATCTGAAGAATGAGGATCTTTATAGGACTTATGTTTTTTTTTAATTTCTCATCTAATCTCATTTCTATTGATGAGCACACATTCAGATTTTTTGCTGCTTCTCATCAATATATGTATACTTAATTTAGGTGCTTTGAAATTTACTGACAGCTGTTAAAAATAAAGCTGATAAGAAAATACTTCATGCAAAAGGCATGAAACTTGATCTTTTGGTTACATTATAAAATACATACTCTGTCTCATATTTAGAGTTGCAAGAAGAGATGACCCCTTAACCAAGAAGAAAAACTAAAAGTTTCTGGCTTAGAATGTAAATATACAACCAGTACCTCAATTCTTGGGGCAAATAACTTATTAGATAAAGCATATATAAAATGCATACCTCAATTTCATTGGAACATAGTTCTCCAATGGCAGGATATTTTCTGTCATAAAATCTGCATCTATACAAATATCAGGGATTTATGAAACAAATAATACAAAAGGCCCATGGGCCACAACGGTCACTTGAGAACACTGGCTATGAAAAAGCACAAATCAGTTCAGTATTGAAAAGTTTACTGGGGGGGGGGGGGGGCAAAAAACTTGAATTTTACACTACCTGAGGATGCTTCCAGCTTCCATATCAATATAACAATTGCCTTTGCTGTTCTTGAACAGGAGATTTTTAAAGATTTTTTCCTATAAATTCCTTTGTAAAAATTTGATCTCCCATTGTGGCCCCTTCCTATCCCTGGGGGGACATGATTTAAACAAACTTGAATCTACTCTACCTGAGGATGCTTCCACATTAATACGACTACTCATGGCTTTTCTGTTCTTGAGATTTTTAAATTTTTTTTCCCTTCTATATTCCTATGTAAAACTTTGATCCCCCATTGTGGCCCCATCCTACCCCCAGGGGTCATCATTTGAACAAATTCAAATCTACACTTCCTGAGGATGCTTTCATTTCAATATTATTACTCATGACTTAGCTGTTCTTCAGAAGAAATTTTTTCCCTATATATTCCTATGAAAAACTTTGATTCCCCATTGTGGCCCCACCCTACCCCCTGGGGTTTGAACAAATTTGAATCTACACTATCTGAGGATGCTTCTATATCAATATGACTAATCATGGCTTTGCTGTTCTTGAGAAGAAGATTTTTAATTTTTTCCTATTTATTCTTAGGTTAAACTTTGATACCCCACTGCAGCCCCACCCTTCCCATTGGGGTCATCATTTAAAAAAACTTGAATCTACACTATCTAAAGAAGGTTTCCTATATTAGTTTGAAATTTTTTGGCCGAGTGGTTCCTGAGAAGAAGAATTTTAAAAGATGCCACCAAATATTTACTATTTCTGAATTATCTCCCCTTGAAAGAGAGCGTGGTCCTTCTTTTGAACAAAATTGAATCCCCTTCACTTATTGAGTTTGGTTGAAATTGGCCCAGTGGTTCTTGAGAAGAAGATGAAAATGTGAAAAAGTTTATGACAACAGACAACAGACAAATTTCGATCAGAAAAGCTCACTTGAGCCTTTAGCTCAGGTGAGCTAACAAGTAATATTGGAAAACAATTGCTTATCTAATGATTTTTCTAAACCATTCAATCAGAATTCTGAAACATGTGAAATGCTGACATAAAGTTATACATGTAAAATTTTTACAATTATGTGTCACCAGGTTAAGATGATGTGTGTAAATCTCAGTCAATATATCGGGTCTCAATAGCTCAGTGATTAGAGCACTGGAACGGTACACCAATAGCCCTGAGTTTGAGTCACCCTTGAGACTTGATTTTTCAAATGTTCAATGGCATACAACATAAAAAAATTATTCCCTTGGAACATTTCTTCTACAACTTTTACTTAACTCATAGAATTCAGAACAAAGAGCTAGGTTTACTTTATGCATAAAATGGCCCTGTCCTTATATCAATTGACTATCACCCTCTATCACATTTCATATATCAAAATGAAGTAGAGACTTAGTGCTTTCATTTCCTATAACAAAATTTCTTCTTGAGAATCCAGGTATTGGAAAACAGGCTTTGAGAAAATGCAATGTTCTTTAATTTTGCAGAAAATGTGCGTATTTGACTACCATCAGCAAAGAATTAAAATATGAGCACAGCCCACAATCCAAAAATTAAAGCATGTTTTGTGATCTTCAGAAACCGATCTTTCATTATGTAATTGCATATTTTGGATCAGAGGTTGTGCTCTATATGTAATATTGAAAAAATATCTCAACTTTTGGCCATTTTTTAAGGGAATTTACAGGATATAGGAAAAATGACGCATTTTATGACATCATAATGCATTGACTAGAGAAAAAATTACGTCATGTTCAATAGATACACGATCACCAAGGGTCCAAGTTATAAATACTGCATTTTCAACCAAAACTGAACAGTTTCGATTTTTCAGAAATTCTCAGGGCCAAAAAAGGCCCTAAGTGGCTCTTGCTCTTTCTACAAATAGGGGAAATATGTTGCTGGGTTAATGGTGTTACTATCATTCAAAATATTGGGTATAAAAAAATGTAAGAGGGCCAATAACTTATGGACATAAATAATTTTACTGCATACTTATTCATGTTTCTGCCATGTGTCCACTGTTTAAAACATCCTCCCTTTCTTTTCAACAGTAAAGGCCCTTCTGTGGGTATAACTACAAACAACATGAGAGCAAGGAATGAAAACACATCCATGGCATATCACTTGTGTAGACACTATGGTGTACGTTGTTTTGAAATAATTTGATAATACTGATTTAACAGAAACCTTTGAGGATGGATGATATTTTTCTCGAGACGATGTCTACAGCATATCTTAACTTTTTCTTCTCCTCGTCACCCATCTCCAACTTCATGTAATGAGCGTGAATTCTAATTCCCCTCAGATCGGTGATTTCTTTAGGTTTACATGTACCACAAATTCTACAGGCTATACAGATAAAAAGTATATATTTGAATAATGGAAAGAAATCATTCAAGACCATTTGTGCTAGGAGTATTAGGATATCGGATATCAGGCTCGTCTGGCTGTACTTTCTCTTTCTGGTTATATGAAAATGCGTTCGAATATTCTTTCGATTTTATAATTTTTTAAATATTTTTTCATTTGAAAAAACTTTATAGTCTACATGATAAACTATAAAAAAAATTATACATACCATTGTCCCTCTTTAAACAAATCTATCGAAAATATACTGTCAAAACATTCAAATTACTTGTACGACTTACTGTAGCATCCGAAATGAAAAGTGAAAACAGAAATGAGTGAGGTAGCATTGGAATTAATAGTGACGGTAAAAACAGGCGAAACAAAACGATTTAGCAAATCATGTGGTAAAAATAACTCAACAGTAAGCCTTAATAATTTACACAAAAACTGTGTGGAGTTACAAAATGAAGTTAATGGATACCTTACGACACTAGTTGAAGAAGAAAGAAGTGTTACGAATGTAAACAATGGATCGAAAACGAATGGTAAGATTGAATTCACTGTTTATGATCATCATGATTTCTTGTTATGTCAGCTTCTTTGTTATAATTATGTTATCTTTAATTTCAGAGTCAGATGTAGACGAGGATATGAGTGATGATGATGAAGATGAAGATTCTGTTGAACCAAATGGCCCACATGCTAAAAGACTGAAACAATGAGATGAAATTTCAAATGCCATATTGTTATCTTAAACCTAATAAATCTCATAAAATTCTAGTAATTATTTCTTTTTCTACTGTTACTATATCCTTTGAATTACTTGGATGGGACACAACACTCATCTGAGTAACTTTAGCACTGCTTTTTAGAAGGTTATTAAGGTTCAATGTAAAACTGAGATTCCTATTATGGTCCAATGATTTGAACAATTTAGAATCTACCTTGGGAAGCTTTCACATAAATTTCAGTGTTTCTAGTTCCTTGGGAAGCTTTCACATAAATTTCAGTGTTTCTAGTTTCTAGTTCATGATCAGTAGAGAAGATTTTAATGGATTTGTCCTATATACATGAATTTCATTTCAATGTAAAACTTTTATTCCCTATTGTGGCCCCACCCTTCTCCAGGAGGGGGGGGGGGGGTTGACAGTTTTGAATTTATGCTATCTCAGGAGGCTTTTCCATATGCTTCCTTTTTTGGTAGTGGTTCCTGAGAAAATTTTTCATATATATTTTGGTCCCACCTTACTCTCTGGGGACATGATTTTAACAAATTAGAATCTGCACTTCGTCACATCTAGTCCAGTGGTTCTTGAGAAGAATATATTTAAAGACTTTCTTCTATATACATGTATTTCAATGTAAAAAATTGATTCCCTGTTGTGGTCCCGTCCTACCCCTGGGGGTCCTGATGTGAACAATTTAGAATCTACACTACCTCTGGAAGTTTACATATAAGTTTCATCTTCTCCATGCAGTTAAGTGGTTCTTGAGAAGATTTTTAGAGATTTTTTCCTACACTTTTATTTCAATGTAAAACTTTGATCCCCTAATGTAGCTCCACCTTATTCCATGTTTTGAACAACTTAGAATCTGCATTACCTTGGAAAGATTTCACATAATTTTCACCTTTTCTGGCCAGTGGTTCTTTGAGAATATTTTTTAATAAAACCACTCTATTTTTGCCTTTTCTTGATTATCTTCCCTTGGAAGGCGGCTTGGCCCTTCATTTGAACAATTTACAATCCCCTTTACCCAATAATGCTTTGTGCCAACATTGTTCAAAATTGACCCAGTCGTTATTGAGAAGAAGTGGGAAATATAGAAAAGTTTGCAGACGGACAGACAGACGGACGCCGGACAACAGGTGATCAGAAAAGCTCATTTGAGCTTTCGGCTCAGTTGAGCTAAAATTGTGTTGGACAGATGACAAAATTGTAGACAATAGAAATCAAACATCCAAAATTCGTACATGTCCGTAGGAACCGGGGGTGGGGGTGGGGGCACCCCCCAATAATTTTGCCGATATATAGATTATTATAGTAGACATACTACATACTTGTGCCCCCTCAATGAAAACGTCTGATGACCTTTTTTTTTTTTTTTGCTTTTTTTGGTAGTGCCCCCTCAACTGTCAACTGAAAAATGTATGGCTGTGCCCCCCCCCCCCAACTGAAATTGCTTCCTACGGGCCTGTCCTATAGAAAGCGAATTCTTTGATCATAACTAGAAATTCGAAAAGTCGAGGCGCAGTTAACTTTGTAATTAAAAAAAGGAAGTGAGGAATTCATCAGGAAATAGATTATTTTCACGGAAATCCATTCATAAATTACGCTATGGCAATATCCAGTCATTTCCCAATAAATACGTATTCTTTTAATTCTTAATATTCATATAATTTTCACAGTTGGTTTAATTTATGGAGTGCCAAATTCACATAAACTGAAATAACTGAAGATATCTCTACAAATATTAATTCTATTTTTGTGCACAGTAATTGAATTGATGCCCGCATCAAATCAAATATTACTTTCAGCAATGAGAGCAATAATGAATTGACTCATAAGAGCATCAATTGAATACTTGATTTGATACCTGCATTAATTATATACAGTGTATTATTTTTCTCTCATCACTTAAAACTGAAGCGCGCATTTGTTCATCTGTAGTCCGAAATATCTACCGTTTTCCTGGCTTTTTTTACGATTTTGATATTTTGCTTGCCAGGAAAACGTCAGAACCGGCGCCATTACGAAAACTGGGAATTCGCCGCCTCCAACCGGAGGCGGCATTCTCGAGTTGATTTTCGATACTTGTCAACCGAATTAAATGTCAAAATCACAACTTATCAATAGTACAATACTTTTAGTACTCACCAATATCGTTTTTATGGTTCGTTCATAAAATATACAATCCGATGAAAACATTTTATCTAACTGTCGAGATTTCTTTTCATTTCGTGCATTTTAAAATCTTACAAGTCCTGTGTCGAAATGCGGAGTGATGTTTTCTTTTCATCGATATTGGTGAGTACTAAAAGCATTGTGCTATCGGTAAATTGTGAGTTTGGCATTAAATTCGGTTGGCAAGTATCGAAAATCAACTCCGGTTGGAGAAGGCGAAATTTCCAGTTTCCTTAATGGCGCCGGTTCTGACGTTTTCCTGGCACATAAAATATCAAAATCGGAAAAAAAGCCAGGAAAACGTCAGATATTTCGGACTAGTTCATCTGATGCATAATTTAATTGTTGCGCTCAACAATATGGTGAAATTATTTCTCGCAAAAATAAATTTAGACCATGGTATCAATAATTTATTAATACGATTTTATGAGAGGAATTAATGCGCGCGAAAATACTTTTAAAGAGAGCAACACTTCAAATACTACTACTGAGTATATAACTACAGTGTATTTGAGTTACCGGATATGTGAAATGAAGAAAATTACTAACTTTATATATATAGTTGCTTTTTATTGAAAAAAAAAAAACCACGAATATACAGCTATGTGCCACATATTTCAAGATAATGATTTACATTTTTACATTTAGTTAAACAAATAGCGCATTTAGTAACAACAAATACAAAATTACATAGATAGAATATTGAACCCTTTGCCTTAAGGGCTTTGCAGCTTTTTTCAAAAAGAATTGTTGCTCGCATTAATGATATCTTTTATTCAATATATGTATCGGAAAAAGCAATAATTCATCATTGCGCGCTTCAATTCAGTTGAAGAGAGCAATAATTCAATTAATGCAATTTAATTGAATTATTGCTCTCTTCAGTTGAAATATTTCGCGCAACGTTTACAATCCAATCGTTGATGTTGTTAATTCATTTATTTGAAGATTACGTAAGACCGAATTCGTAAGGTCTTTAGGGATCTTTTGTTGTGTGATAGTTAAGGTAGCAAACAAGAAACAGGATAATTTAATTGACATGGCCTAAGCCTGCTGACCTAGTTTCTAGACCAAGCTAGACGCTATATGGTAGGGACAGGTAGGTATGTATAATTAATATTTAAATTATAACTAACCTGTTTAACTAACCTGTTCTCATTTTATCTATTTAAAGGAGTTAATAATATAATTTATGTAGAAAACTTTTAAGAGTACATTCCAGTTAAACAGTAAGAAAATGGCCAATCTCTCGACCTGCGAACCCGTTGTGGTAATCCATGGTGGAGCTTGGGCTATCCCGGACAAACTATCGTCTGCTAGTGTTGACGGTGTCTGCTTTGCGGCGCGTGCTGGGTATGAGGTCCTGAGAAGAGGAGGGACAGCCGTGGACGCAGTGGAAGCTGCTGTCCTGGTCATGGAGGACTGTCCGGCTTTTGATGCAGGTTTGATATGATGTAGATCTCTATGAATTATGTTAATTGACATTAGGGAAAAAATCTACGTTTGGCGACAGCGGACACAGAGAACGTCCCAAAAAGCGACAAGCATTGAAGAAGTTTAAAATGTACTTGCTTGATTCAAACTCATAATATTTTAAATCCCACAGGCCCGTAGTTAGCTATTTTAGTTTGACCCGGGGGGGGGGGGGCAGAAATTTCTTGACAAGAAGAAAAAGTCATTCAACGTTATCATTGAAGGGACAAAATCTTTATAATTATCTCTTTTTCTATTGTATATTATATATTGGCAAAATTACCCCCATTCCTACGTGCCTGTCCCTTACCATATATAATCATGTTCCATTATACTCTACAAGACAGGTACAGAATTTCAAAATTTAACCCCCCCCCTCCCTGCGAGGGATAGGGTACGACCATTTGATTCTGAAGGAGGGGGCAGGTAATTTTGGAAATAAATAATCTGTCCTCCAAATTGTTGAAAATAATCTGACCTCCACTGGCAAGAAAATAATCTTACCTTGAATGGTGCTACTATAACCCCCCCCCCCCTCCACACACACACACGCACTACGCGGAATAAAGTTATGGAGCCACTAAATTTTCACTAATTCTTTTATCTTCCCTTGAAAGAGGGCATGGTCCTTCATTTGAACAAACTTGAATCCCCTTCATCCACGGATGTTTTGTGGTTGGTTCAAATTGGTCAGTTCATGAGAAGAAGCTGAAAATGTAAAAGTTTACAGACGGACAACAGACAAAATGTGATCAAAAAAAAAAGCTCATTTGAGCTGAACTAAAATGTTGACCCCTATCCCAATTATATCGGCACATGTATAAGAATAGCGCAAAAATATTTTCCAGATAATCATTACTACTGAACAAAAACATTAACATTCAATCTCCTAGTGTATAACGAGAATAAAAGAATAGGCTGATTTATCAGATATATCGAGAATTCTGGTACCTAGGCATATCATAGTGGTATACACAAATCCTGGACACAATTTTCTGACCAAAACCCTCCCAAAAGTATTGCGAGTAATGCTAAATAAATATAATTTGTTTACTTATTTATCTGTACTTTTGTCTGTCTGTCTATCCCTCTTTCTGTGTGTGTATGTGTCAATATATCTCTCTCTCTCTCTCTTCATGACCTTACCGGGTAGTATATTCTTCAACACAATATATCGGCGACAAAATGTGCAAATGATCACAGTACATATTGTCGCCGACGACAAAATGTGCGGATGCGTGACTGTACATTTTAATTGTCGACCATTATGCAGGAGGAAAAAAGGCTCGTCTCGGTACCTATTGTCGCCGGCGACAACACGTACCGATGGACGACAATATTTGCAGTAGGGTAGGTACATATTGTCGCCGACGACAATATGTACAGAACGACAATATGTACCGTCACAAACCTTCGTATATATTAATATATACTAAGCCACGTGTAGGTATTTAGGGGCTTAATAAAAAATTAAGACATTGCTGTGGCGTCATGCCTTAATTGTTGTTACAGTCCAAAAGTTTACCTGTAGCAGTCCGATAATAATAATTACCAGTCTAATAATATATTATCGGACTGCAGCGACAACATTAACAAAGAATGTAGAGTGAAATCAGGGATTAATATTTCCAGAAATTTAAAAAAGGGGGGGGGGGCAATAATTCAGGGTAACCAACTGCAAGGAATTTAAGTTGCTACAAAATAGAAAACCCATTTAGAAGAAAATCTATTTGAACGCACATTTTAAACCTGCCTCATTCCCTAAAATTCCCTATACAGTGTTTTCGACACAGCGTTGTTACTAAGCGAATTTAGTTCCATTTCTGATAAGGAACCTTCTCAAGAATCAATGTGGCAGAAAAGTTAAAACTTACGTGAAAGCTTCCGTATAAAGTGTATATTCAGTTTTATTCAGACCATGACCCCCGGGAGAAGGGTGGGGCTATAATAGGTGATCAAAGATTTACATAGGAATATATAGGAAAAAATCTGACAAAATCTTCTTCTCAAGAACTACTGGGCCAGAAGAGTCGATACTGATGTGAAAGCTTCATTAAAGTTTGTTTAAATCATGACCCCAGTGGTAGGGTGGGGCCTCAATGGGCGGTCAAAGTATACAGGAAATCTTTAAAAATCTTCTCAAGAACATCAAGCCAATGATAAGTGATGATTATATGGATGCATCCTCAGGTAGTGTAGATTCAATTTTTTTTTCTGAATCATGACTGTGAGGGGGGGGGGGGGGGCTAGGGTGGGACCACAATGGGCGATCAAAGTTTTACAGAGGAACGTTTAGGAAAATTCTTTAAAAATCTTCTCAAGAACAGCAAAGCAATGATTAATCGTATTTATATGGAAGCATTGTCATGCGACATGTACGGATGGACGACAATATGTGCTGTGAGGGTAGGTACACATTGTCGCCGGCGACAATATGAACGGGACGACAATATGTACCGTCGCAATCGCGCTACATGAAATAGCATACGAGGCACGTCAGTGTAATTTACACACCAATTACATTCAGAAAAAAACCCCAACAAAATCTTAAAGCTACAATATCTGTGGGGCGACAATATCTGCAGTGAGGGTAGGCACATAATGTCGTCAGCGACAAGTATACATGTGTAACTTTTCAGACGGCGACAATATGACCGATGGACGACAATATGTGCAGTGAGGGTAAGTACATATTGTCGCCGACGACAGTATATACAAAACGACAATATGTCATACGTATATAACTTATGGTGATCTAAGAGAATTAGATTTTGTATACTTCATATTTCATATACTGTACTTCATGCATTCTCTCAAGGTACAGGATCAGTTTTGAACACTAAGGGAGAGGTTGAAATGGACTCGGTAATTATGGATGGACGACTGCTTCGGTGTGGGTCTGTTGCTTGTGTACAAAACATAAAGAACCCAGTATCTCTAGCCAGGGCGGTTATGGAGAAAGTAAGATCATCTTCATTAATTTTTAAGTTTATATCACGGAATTTCACTTCCGTTAAATACTTTGAACACTAGTATACATCTCAGTATCAATTAGTACGAAGTTTGTATCAAATTGGGTAAGATCTGGTAAGTTTGTATTCTCTCCTAGACAGATCACACTCTCCTGGTTGGAAAAGGCGCCAACGAGTTTGCCGAGGAGATAGGTATACGTACAGTACCAACAAACAGTCTGGTAACAGAAGATGCTCGCGAGGAATGGCGCCATTTTATGAAATTCAAAACTACCGTCAACGTGCTCTTTAGAAACAGGTTCATAGTCTTATGCAAAAAACCTACATATTTATCTTTTCGTCAGTCCCTATACATATATATAAAATATATATTTTAAATTCATTGAAGTAATTTATATGAACCATATATCATATAAATAAATACCTGCTATGCTTTGAAAACTACAATGATAGGTTTGGAATAGGTCTTTTCTGTTGAAACAGTTCTATGGGTCAGAATTAAAATTGATATCCGAAATTAAAAGTTATGTTATAAACACAGTGAGATTGTGTGCACGCATATATGACCAATAGGTCTACAATGAAAGTACAGACCAAGCTGTGTTGTGCGTGCTTTGTGCACGTGCACGTTTAAATAGCTGTTGATCAAGACGTTTCCAAAAGACGCCGGAGGGGGGAGGTTCCCCGCAATAATTTTTCCGATGTAATAGTATACTGTAGAAAACATTGCTATCTCTCAATTATAACGTCTAGTGCCCCCCCCCCCCCATGCCAACTGAAAATATTTGGTTGCACCCCTACCCCCCAAAATTGCTTCCTGGGGTCTGAGTTGATATTTATTTAGGAAGCCATTACATTAATCACATATTTCAGTCCTCAAGATCACTAGTGTACCGTATGTTGTAGAGGTTCAACTATAAATGCAGAATATTTAAGATGAAATTCAAGCAACTAATCACTCCAATTTCGGTAATTTTAGAGCTGAAGAAACTCCAGTGGATTCCAGCGTATGTGACACAATAGGTCACGACACGGTGGGGGCGGTGGCTCTAGACAAGTTTGGCAACACAGCGGCTGCCACTTCAACGGGTGGCATCACAGCGAAACGACCGGGACGTGTTGGCGATAGTCCAATTGTAGGTATGTTTAAGTAATAGAGAGATCATCTTGATTAATTTTGATGATTATGTGAAATGTAATTTATTCATAGGTTCTGGAGCATATGCTGACAATGATTCAGGGGCTGTGTCGACAACAGGTCATGGAGAGTCAATCACCAAAGTATGTCTGGCAAGGGAGGTTACTCATCGTATAGAGGAGGGTGAATACTCATTTCTTTGTTATAACATTGAAGTATTTTAAGTCCGTAAGTAAATGTTTGTTGTCATGTCAAATATACTAATTGCTATACACATTGACTGTAAAGGTCTGTCAGCACAAGAAGCCGCTGAGGCAGCACTTAAGAAAATGACCACACGTGTACAAGGCTCTGGTGGGGTGGTGGCAGTCAGTAAGGATGGAGATATTGGGAAACATTTCACCACAGAACGCATGGCCTGGGCGTGGATAAAAGCTGAAAAACTTCACTATGGATTAAATTGTGGTGAAGACTTTGTCATAGACATCTAGATACTGTTTATCAAATTTGGTGCTGTTAATACAACAGGGATATGACCAACAATCATTACAAAGAAAGCAAAGGATAACGTTAATAAATTTACTTTTTTCTAAAAATGAGAAAAATACTATTAAACTATAACCATGATGCATGCAAGTATTTACAATAAAATATGAAACAATATATATTAAGGAGACTGTTTTTCAACAAAGACAAAAAAATCTTATATAAGTATTTGTAGCTTGTTCATGTCATTTGTCCATTAATGTGCCTATACATGAAAAAAAAATTGTTGAGAATCTTTTGATAGTTTTAAATGGGAAAATGAAACAAAATCTGCATGACAAAACAGCATTTTTTTGTTCATCATAGTGTAAATACTTGTAATAATATAACTGATTTTGGTTTGAGCTTAGTTACATAAATTAAATCAAATTACAATTTATTAAAACTTTAAAAAAATTTTTTAAGGTAACACAATTTCTGAACTGTAAATAATCAATTGCAATGTTCATGTATGTGGATATTTTAAAAATTCATTTTATCCGGCCATTTTCAAAGAAAAGGCTGATTGTTAATTAATGTCATGAGTGCAAGGACATATAACTGAACCACTTATATTTTACACAGCACTACAACACCATAGAACTCTCACTTCAGTAAATGGCATCACATCTCACAGACTCTTAAACAATTAAGAGAAATAGAATAACTGCACAATTATACATGTTGTATGTCCATCCCCAGAAAAAGATACTGCAGAGCACTGTCATTTTCTGTGACAGACTTCAGTTTTTATGGAGGCTCTTCATGCCTCTTATTGGTAATCCTTTTATGTTAAATTGTAGCTGAATGGTACACATGTACATTAAGAACTACATCTCAGATTCTTGCTGAATAACACTGGAATTATAGACTTTGATTCTCGTATTTGGGAGAGCTTTTGTAAGATTGGCTGTGAACTGGATGACAGATATGTACTCTGCTGTGGAGCTGCCACCTGGACTGGTCTCCTCTGTGTTTGGAAGGAATGGTATCCATTCAGTGTTTGAAGTTTCATTATCAAGTATAATGGAAGTACTGGAGTTGTTCATAATGCCCCACTCTAACTTCTCCAAATGTTTTAGTCCTGACACCATCTTCAACATATTAGAATTCACCTTTCCTGGTGTCTACAGTGTAATAAACACAAGAGTATTTAGCAAGCAAACCACTGGAGATCATATACTGTAAAAATACTCATTTTAGCAGTGATCATATTTTATTGTATATTGCACTGCCTCTTGTCCACTTATTCATGTACAGACTAATATACAGGCTAATATATGATTAAACCTCATACATGTCATTTATACGATTATTAGGCTAATCAGATGAAGAGGAAGATTGACAAAATTAATGTACCCCGTAATATTTTATGGTCATGATATCTTGAACCCCCTTGGCCTCCCTCTTAAATTAAAAGGGTAGGGGATTCAATATATTATAACCATAATATTATGAACCCTCTGGGTTCAATATTTTATAAGGGGGTTTGTTATATCGCAGCAAAAAAATGAACCCCCTGGGTTCAAAATATTATGCGATATATTGAACCCCGGTTCAATATATCGCGGTATCAAAATATTATGCACCACCAGTATGTTTACAGTTGTCTTTATGCCGTATATCTACCTAATACATGTACAAATAAAGCCATCAAGAAGATTACAAGATGTATTTCAAATACTGTAAAAGCAGAAATATTCATTGGTGATTTAATTTCGTTTACTTTGTTGTTAACAATTAGCAACAAAATTAAATCCCACACGAACTTTTTTAAGACTATATATATTGAATAGGGTTACTTTTGAAACAACGAAATTTAATGCCCATGAAACCTTTTTAGATGACGATTCAACAAAATTTTATCCCCAAGAAAATTTGTGCTTCTACAGAAGGTTAAAATCTACATGTAATTAAAACAGCATCTGTTTGTATCCAATGTAGAAAAGATATTCAATGTATAGTGTTTATCATTATAAATGTAAACCTGAAAACATTTTTATGTGAATATATTTATTGGCTTTAATACACAATTTTAATACATTAACGTGTCTTAGGAAAGCAAGAATTTTAAAATAAGCATAAAAGGGTAAATCAGAACCATGTACTCTTCCTGAAACTGTCATATTTGTAGCAAATAAAAATACTGACATGGTCAAACAGGACTCTATAGTATGACCTAAATGATCTTGACCTACTGACCTCCAACTGCATGACATAAACAATGAACAGTGTTCCCTCTAACATCCTTTTCCTAATGTAGTGACTTTCAAATCTGGAGGCGTTTTGTGTTGCAAAAATGTTAGGAGGTAAAATCAAGTATGTGGGACCTTGTATGCATGCTATTAGCAAATCTGTTCCTGCATTTACAGACGAAGACTATGACCTTACTAACCCTCAAAATATAATCTGTACATTAGAAAAAGTAAACTCACAGGTGAAGTTTTCTGAGTATTTGGCCAGATCACTAGGGTCTTGATGTGATCCAATCCTTTGACAGTCTCTGGTAACACAAACATGATCAGCTCTAGTCTCTCTAAACTACAAACAAGAGGTTCAAGTCAGCAAGCAAGAAACAGGAAGTTTACCAGTTCTAGTGTCATATCACTAGGTGATTAAGAAGCTCCTTATTTTTCAGACAATAAATATATATTTCATTTAAGTTGGTGTTACTAGGCACAGACAAATCTAACAGACAAGCTAAAAAAAATACCAAAAATCTTCTACTTACAATAATTAATGGACTTTCTGATCATACTGAGTGCTAGTCTGATGTAATCAGATTGAATGGCATGGTTGTGTCTACATTTGATGTGTAAGAACCACAACATTATAAATCTATATATACTGGTATCTTTAGTTCCCTATAATTTACATACCTTTTGATCTGGCTGAGTGCTTCCCCTAATCCCTCATCACTCTCAACGTTTCCACCATTCTCAAGCCGAAGGATTCTCAAATTCTTCAGATTCGAGAACAAAGAGTATGTCTGTATCACAATAAATGGATAGTTTGTAATATATATAATGTAAAACAAAAAACTACTTACTACTGGTGAATACTATCAAGACTAGTTATTGTTGGTCTTCTCATCAAGTCTATTTTTTTGGATAACAAATACTTTTCATCAGAATCAGAAAATTTATTACTTTTTATAAGCCAAATTTGTATGGCAGTAAACATAAGCTCTGTAGAACTTTTGACCTATATTCCTCACTCCTTATAAACAAGTGCAGATATAGGGTATAACGATAGTTATAATAATAGTTACACATAAATAGTAAGTAAATTCATAAATACATGTATTCTGTATCATTCCTTTGAAATATCACTTGAAATAAAGACAGAATATAAAAAAAATTTAAATTTACACCTGTATTAATTTAATCATACATTGTATGTACATACACCAGTTTACACCCATGACTGAGGCACAAAGTTATAATACTGTGCTTTTTACCCTAATCAGAACACTTTAATATCAAGGTTTAACTTACCTTGGATGTCCATCTCGGACAATCTCCCAGCTCCAGACATTCCAGCTGCTCCATCTTCTCTAGAAAAGCAAACTCAGACTCCTCAACATTGGTCAAGGTTGTCAAAGACTGCAAAACAAAGGGTAGCCAAACATTTCAATAAAAACCTCAACACTGGACATGGTTGTCAAGGACTGCAACACAAAGATTAGCCAGTCATTTATATAAAACCTCAGCATTGGTTAAGGTTGTCAAAGACTGTAAAACAATGGTGTAAAAATAAATTGGGATGAACAACCAGAGAGCTACAGAACCACCCATTGAAAAAACTGAATTTATATTCTGAAGATCTGCATCTACACCCAAATATACATGTAATTGTAGCTTGAATTAAAATTTGGAATCGGTATTATTTGAGACAATGAATAGGATAATCATCATTTTAAAAGATGAATGTTTGTTTCATAACAAGAATAACTAGAAATCCTCTTCACAGTTTTTCTTCATTCTTGTTTTAATGACAGTTCATGAAAAAATATCAACTATATGTCATGAAAAAATATTGACTATGTCAACATACCAGCTTTCTGAGTTGTTTCAAAGATGAGAGATCATCAAGCCCTCCACTTAAGGTAAATGATGGCAAAGCTAACCCAACAACTCCACGAAGCTTTAGTTCTGACAGATTTGGCAAAGAGCTAAATTTTCCTATATTAAGTTTAGTAACATGGTCCCTGTGAAAATAAAAAATAAATTACAACTTCAATTTGAGCAGGTACTTACCAGTAACTGCAAATCTATTACAAATTCTCTAGTGTGAGAGTTAATTTTGTGATGATAAATCAATATAAGGTCAAATTCTAAAAAAATACACATGAAATTATTATGTAAAAAAACTGATTTCAGCGCAGCAAAGAAAACAGAATTGTTGAACAGTATCTAGTTTTTTGTGTTTACCATTTCTGCTCATCATCATAGTCACTGATCCATTCCGCTGTGAACACTTCAAGATGAGGCATCTTCTCACAGACGTGCTGTAAAACAGAGCCAGGAACCAGGCCAAAGTGAATGTTTTGTATACAGGTTAACTGAGGCAACACAGACAGAAACTGATGCCAAGTGTGATTGCGACTCTCATAATGTTCCAGGCCTCGTAAATTCTGAAATTTTAACAGTTATTAATGTAAACAATATCATACTGTAATATACAAGATAGCATTGAGCAGCAGGCTCTAGCTGCCTCTATTTTTACAGGATTTATTCTATATATGATAATAATAAATTCTTGTAGTTTTCTCCTGGTATCTCAAAATCAATCTGAGTTAATAACAAAGTCAGCCAAAAACTTATAAAAATTTAAACACATACATATTTTAAAAATACAATATTTACCAAAGAATGGGCAGCTCTTTGGAGGAGAAATCTGACAGCCTTTTTCCAGTCCGCCACTCTGACATTTCTGAGTTTTACCTCTTGCCACTATTTATAGATATTGAGCAACTTACTAAATGCACAAAAACTTAGCATCCATAATCATCTTAAAATTTATAACCAGTCATGGACATTCAACAAAGTAGGGGATCTCCTTGCAGAAAATATGTTAGTGTTAAATGCCAAGCAACCATGCTTACACTGTCATTTCAGACTTTTTTTTCTAATTTTCTTGCTAGTAGATAACCAATTGTAATAAGTTGTTGGTGATAACTAACTTACAAGCATGGGACTCTGTGCCAAGGCTCTCCATGTTCGACAAACCAAACTTACTCTAATCAAATTAAAAAAATTAAAAAACATGTATGTATAAATGTTGATAAATTGTGTTCTTCTATTTCAATGACCTAAGTATGACTAGATCTTACCTTGCCAAATCATGCATGTTGAGATACTGAAATATGCACAGCATACAGTCAAATCCTCCATATAACTTTTTGATTTGACAGTTTGCTGGGTTAATTCCTGCCCTCCATTGCCTTTGTGGACGGCTTTTCTTTGAATCTGGAGAATCAGTTTTTTCTTTCTGAGTAGAGCTGCCAATATTTACACTTATCTTAGTATTTGGAGAGGATGATTTGTCATTTGTTACTGTAACACACAGCTTTGCTGTTTCCCCTAGTTGAACAGGAAATGTTTTGGGGGGCAAGAACACTTTAAGTCCATCAGCTGTCACTAGAAGACAGGATGGGGGAACAGTTATTTGCATATTGTTTATCTTCAGTGCCAAAGGCTGCTTGAGATTTAGTCTTTTTGCCACAGCACTAGGTAATGTTAATAACTGGCCATTTTTCGATGTCTGAGTTATTTCGATGCCACTGTTATCGGGGCTAGATTTGGGTGTGGGAGCTGCCGTCAGCTTCGGAGGCGGCTGAGTTACAGGAGATATACTTGGTAACGAATAATTTACTTTCGCAGATGTAAAAGCTGTTGGCTGGTTGACAACGTTGGGAGATACATGAAGTTGATTTAATAAATTTGGTGCATTTAATGGATTAAAGATGGGCAGATTTGGTATTGCTGTGAATGCTGCAGGGTTTGGAGCAACTAATGCGTTACTACTAGAGACACTTATCTGAGGACTACTTCCATTAAAGGCTAGGCTTGCTTGTGATCCACTGAAAGAATTCAGTAATACAGGCATGGGAGAAGTTGTCACAACAATAGATCTCTTATCAAGAACACTCTTCAGAGTGCCCATGGTTGTGGAACTGACAGCATTTTTTCCCTTTGCCTGACCGTAGTCTTCTGTATCCATGGGTTCTTGCTTCACTTTGACTGTACTAGTAGTGGTAATGGAATTGGAGGAAACAGGGATTTCTGGGGTTAATCTGGTAGCACTTATGGATTTGATCACTGGAATGTTGGCTGAGATGGGTTTACCATTGATGTTCTGCATCGCTATTGGGAACAGCTTGACCGTCTGTGGCTTCGGTTTTTTTACAGCCGCAGATCCCGTAACACACCTCTGTTCGAATAAATATGTAATCATAAAATCAACTAAAACAGGTTATCTTTTATATAGAATGAACAAAAAAAAATTTTTTAAAAACACTGCATATACAGTAAAAATCAGTTATCGGACAGTCATGGGGACCTGCGAAATTATATTGCTATATTCGTAATTCGTTATATCTGTATAACGAATTTGTTAAAGTATAAATAGCAACCTTGAAGTATAATTTTTTTCCCTTCAGTATGACTACCAAATGTATTTTGGGAAGTATTAACTACAAAAGTAACCTTGGATTTCAAAATTTTTTCGAATAGACTGAATTTCACATTTAAAATACTTACAAAAATAGTGTCAGTTCAATATTTTAAAAATCAAGATATTTGAAAATTCGCTACAAAAAATGTATATTTCATTAATTTTTGTCTCTAAGGAACACAAAAGCAGTTCACTATATCTGTAATTTTGCTATATCTGAGTTCGTTATATCCGTTAAAATTTACAAGGAATTGTTAAAAATATTGCCAAGGATTCCAAAAAACTTTGCTACATGTGTATGTCCATAAATTCGCTAAATAGTACTAAACGACTTCTACTTTACTTATAACACAAAGTTTTACAATTAGGAATGAAATACACAGAACCTACATGTATTCTTTTCCTTATAATGTTTGCTAACTAGATATAACAGATGGTGTTTACCAAATATTAATTTACATTACACAGTCCACATAGTGACATGAAGTTCTACAGATCACAGTATTTACACACAGTGAATTTTTTTTTTCAATATGTTTATGTGTAGTGTATTACAAAAGCAATCACAGACTACTGACCAGACAAACGAAGTCCTCTGTGTCTGGGTCCGTGTTAACACACTCCGGATGGAACAGACAGAGACAGACAAGACACTGTAGAGAGGGGGGCACCAAGTTCCTCCCAGGGCAATTTAAGTTGCACAGTTCCTCTAAATTTTCAGCACTATATGTGAAACAAATCATTCTATCATTAATGCAGAGTAAAGCTTCCTGTCTGACATAATCTTAAAATCTAGTATAATTAGCAATTTTCTTTTTTAAAAAAAATCTATAAGTTAAGGTCTTAGCATAAAACAAGAGGCCCAAGGGCCTTGAATCACTCTTCTGATAAAATGTACAACCTATCACTTCTATTTGAAGCCTCTAAATATCCTGTATATTTAGATAGACCCTTGAAATTCCAGAGGTAGGTCATCAAGACCTACATTTTAGATGAAACACTCTGAGAACCCAAGATGATTCTAAGCCAATTAGTACCTGAGAGTAGGTCATTTTTCAGATGACATACTTTCAGGACCCAAGATGCATAAACTGACAACGTTTGATGATTCTAAGCCAATTAGTACCTGAAATATTTAATTAAAGCCATAAATTTTCAAAAATAGGTCACAATGACCTACTTTTCAGTCGACTTACTCCGAAGACCCAAGATGCATCAACTGACAAAGTTTGGTGATTCTAAGCCAATTAGTACCTAAAAATATTTAAATAAAGCAATAAAATTTCAAAAGTAGGTCACGGTGACCTACATTTCAGTCAACTTTCTCCAAAGACCCAAGATGTATCAACTGACAAAGTTTGATGATTCTAAGCCAAATAGTACCCGAAAACATTTAATACAACCATAAAATTTCAAAAGTAGGTCACGGTGACCTACTTTTCAGTTGTCGTACTCTGAAGACCCAAAATGCATCATCTGACAAAGTTTGATGATTCTTCGCCAATTAGTACCCGAAATATTTTATTAAAGCCATATTTTCAAAAATAGGTCACGGTGACCTACTTTTCAGTTGACTTACTCCGAAGACCCAAGATGCATCAAATGACAAAGTTTGATGATTCTAAGCCAATTAGTACCCGAAATATTTAATTAGTCAAATAAATTGAAAAGTAGGTCACGGTGACCAACTTTTCGGTCGACCTACTCCCAAGATGCATCAACTGACAAAGTTTGATGATCATAGGCCTTAAATTGCTCAAAATATGCCTCTAAATCATTTTTAAAAAGAATGGCTGCAAAATTTAAAAAGTAGGTCACAGTGACCTACTTTTTAGTCAACATGATATGAGGTCCTTAGATTCAACAACTGACAACATTTTAATAAAATGTAATTTTTGGTCAACTTTGAAGTGACCTTGAGACCATGCCCTTTGTCCCAGGATGATGCCTTGAAAATTTTTTAATCTGCAACATATCCTCATCCTTTTATGTAAGTTTGGTGATAATCTGCCCAGTGGTTCTTGAGAAGAAGATTTTTTAGCAACCAGTACTTTTGGTTTTATTCACTTAATTATCTCCCCTTGTTTAAGGGTCACAACCCTAGTTTGAGTATAAACAGGATCCCTTGGGCCAAGGATACCCTGTGACAAATTTGACAATAATTGGCCGAGGGGTTCTTGAGTTATGGCCCATATTCTAAAAAGTTTACGCACATCACACAAATGGCCATAGCATTAGCTCTTTGAGCCTTTGGCTCAGAAGAGCTAAAAACTTGTCATACACAGAGGCAAAGGACCACAGCACTTAATTTATGAAATGATCATAGCATTTATCAGGAACTACAAGTACAACTTCAGAATTTTTAAAAAAGTCAACAACATCAACAACACCAACATTTTCACATATGCAAATATACAGGTACATGTATGTGGCAAATATCCTTATGAACACACCATATGTTTAATAAACATAAAATGCAAATTTGAAGTTACTCTGCTGAACAAATTCAGTTGCTTATTACCATACCTTTCAATCTGTTTAGCTGGCTTGAAGGGCTTTGGTACACCTTGCGTTGTACTTTTTCTTGCTGTGGGTTTTGACCGTTTGGGGGATGGCTCACTGGGAGAAGAGGAGTCAGTTGATTCCACTTTGGGTATCTCTGAATCCCCACTGGATAATTTGATTATCTCTACTGTCTTTGAACTGGGTGGTCTTCCCCTTTTACGAGGTATTCCTGTCCGTGGCAATAAATTTTTATTAATTCCACTTGGTGGCCTTCCTCTTTTCCTCCTAATAAATCCAGCCTGCTTAAAAAAAGAATAACTTTTCAATAAAGAATATCTTTACATGTCCTTAAACATAAGATTTACATTAAAAATTTATTTAGACTTGAATAATTGATAGAAAAGTTAGAATTATTATGACTGTTTTTAAGTTTGTAAACGTATTCATAGTTAGAATATACATGCATCAACTGCTGGTGGACCAGATGGAGTGAACTCTCAAAACAGTATTTGCCATTGCCATGCATGGCAGAAAGTGAGTCTATAAATATCTTTTTTTCCCTAAGGTGTGAGTTTTATTATTTGACCAAACATCAGCAAATTATATTGTCTAGAAACCGAGTAAAATATTAATTTTGTCTATCATTTTCATGTTGACAAGTTCATTTCCCGGTAAGAAAAATTCTGTCATAGAATTGTTACCGTTTCATAAAATGTCATAAAAGCTAAATTATTTTGCCTTTTAATTCCAAAATTTATGTCTTCAAACTATATTTTTTGTTTTTACTGTAAATCATATCTTGAGTGTCAACTTAAGAATTACCAAATTTATTTTTTTTTATTTCACAAACAGAAAATAAAAAATGCAAAAATGAGCCCTTCAAAATCTTTTTAAAAGCAATAAAGAGTAATGACAAGATTGCAGAATTTTCTGACACACCACTGAATTTGCCTGTGAAACAGCAAATTTTGTCTGCATGCACATGTGCAATCTCCAATTTTGTAGTCCTAATCTTGTACACTTCAGACTGCTGATAGATACATGGATATGCCAATATTTTTAAAATTTCATTAACACAAGTAAAATAAAAGAGACCACAAGTTCACAAATCAAAAACAATTTCTCTAGAGTATCGCTTACTCTAAAACTCTGACCTGACTAATCCTGATCTGCCCTCCATCTGAGAGTTCCTTTTCCTCTCCATCTCGCTCTATAACAACCTGTGGCTTAGACTCTTTGTTCAGTCTTGGTGTTTTCGGTGACCCAAAACCACCTCGACCTACTGACCCTGAGGATCGAACAACCTCAAAAGGAGGCTCCAAGATTGGTTTGCGTAGGAATGAAAAATTGTCTATGGTCAAATCTGAATTGGTCATAACCACTAAAATCAAAAGAATTTCATATACTGGATTAATTTTACATGAATTTTATTTAAGATTCAATATCAACTGAATATGCAAAATTTATACTTACAATATTTAGTTATGTCAACCATTGATCTCTATAAAAAATGAATAAAATGATTGGTATTTTAGTTAAGGATGTTAATACAAGTACCAGATCTGGTATTTGTTAAAATGAAGAAAGAAACACACAGTCTTACAAACAAACCTCCAAAAATACAGACCAAAATGAACACAAATAATAAATCTTAAACTATAATAGTGGTTCTGTATACAGATCAAAAAGATGACAATTATCTTTTTAATTTTTGAAATTTGGCAAGTGAAAATCTTTATGGTCAAGTATGGTACTAGTATTTAACAAATCTCATTTAAGAGGCGAAAACATTGAGGACTCTTACTCATTCGTCAATCATTATTATCAGGGTTACAGTGCTTTTAAAGCATCAACTTCAAAAATTTCCACTGAATGAAATGGAAAATTTATGAAGTCATATGATAGACTGTTGTGATCTTACCAATTTCCTTCCCTCTGGTGGATGGTAATAAACATCAGCTGGAACAGACTTCATGGCTCCGTGCTTGGTAACAGGGGTGTATGTACTCCTGAACACAACTTCTCTTCTCCAGCCTAAATATGTTAAAATTTGTTTTATTTATCAGAAAGTTAGATTACCGTTAATTCAAATCTCTCATGATTTGAACAAACCTTGATTTTCATATATCCTATCTATGTACTTCTTACCTTCTTTAAATGGTTTCAGTAAAAGTTCTCTTTGTTCTTCTGTCATCACGCTAACTTTTCTGTTTGCTGCAAAACATTTTTAATAATTATTATACACAGTTTTGTTTTTTATCATAATATACAGCATCAGAATATGTGACAAAAGCATAAATTATGTGACATTTCAACTTATGAACAGTGTACGAATATATGAAATTCTTGTTTACTCACTAGTCCAGTGTCAGTTAATTTCATCAGAGATGACTATTTTTTTATCAAAGGAAAATATCTGAGTTTTTGAAATCAGGGAGACCAACTGGTAAAATTAGTAAATTATATATTTTTTTAAATATGTGTACTTTGGTTGCTTGAAATAAAATGAAATTTGTTGTCTTATTTTTCCTTCTCTCTAGAAACATGAATTTAACTAGTAGATCTATATTTGCTTGGACCAGTAAATTTATTAATTCACCTATCCAATAAATTGACCTGTGATTTTTTTTTTTATTAAAAAGATTCTGCATATTGTGATAACTATACAAATCTGGACTTCAGGCCTAGCAGATTTCACAGTGTGTTTCAAGAACTGTTTGTACATTACAATCAAATATATCATTAATCAGCAAGTCATTCGGCCCTGCTGTTCTTCAAATTTTTTTTTAAAAAGCTTTTTAACCCTTTTTATACCCATTTCCATTTTTGATCCCATATAATAATTATGGTCTCGCCACAGCTCAGGGTCACGACTAAGCCAGGGGTCCTGAGTCAAAATGTTGCTGTTGGACCCCTGGCATATTTCATTCAATATTTGTGGGCTGACTTAGCCACGACTTTCGGAAAAATTACAAATCTTGATTGTTTTTCGTATATCTCAACCAATCACATTAAGCCATTCTATGATAAACAGCTTGTAACATGTGCATTTGACGTGTCAACTGAATCCTTATTTAACTATTTATGAAAGCTTTAATTTGATTGGTGCTTCTCAATGAGAGAAGCAAGCCCACGAATATTGAATGAAATATGCCAGGGGTCCAACAGCAACGTGTTGACTCAGGACCCCTGGCTTGCGAGGATGAACATTCCCTGATCTGGAGAAGTTTTTATCCAAGCATACTGTACATACTATTCACATGTACTTGAAATGAATTATTTAAAGTCTGCTCATTTATTTTAGTCTCAACCTACTCCAATGTTCATAGTTTTAGAAAACTTGAATCCATCCAACTTTGGAATGTTTGCATATTAAAATGATTCTGTGTTGCCCTGATATATCTTCTCATGCAAGTCTTTGATTCATTATTTTAGCCCCATCATTGTTCCAGAGGCTATGATTTGAACAAACTTGAATGTACACATGTATATTACATTGGAATGCTTGCATATTAATTAACATGGCCCAGGGTTCTTGAGAAAATTTTTAAAGACCCCCCCCCTCCATATGTATTCCCATGTAAAAAGTTTGATTTCCTTTTGCATGTTTTGTGGCCCCACCCCCCTACCCATATATGGGGTATTCATGTCATTATGATTCATACATATTTCAACCTGCAATGAATACATGAAGATGCTTGCCTATTCTTAAAACTTTATATGCAGAGTTAATAGCAAGACTAAAATTTTGGCACTATTAACAAGGACATTGAGATTGCTAAAAATTGATTATGACTAACTTGGTAATAGCTGTCTTATTGGCATTATAAAATCCCTAAAATTATGTCTTGCTAAAAATGTATATTAATTTTTAAGGATAAATTGTTAAACTAACTGTATGACTCATCATAACCCTGTTGTTCATAAAAGATTTTAAAGATCTGTTCCTATATTTCCCCAAGTAAAACTTTGATATCCTATGGTGCCCCATCCCCCCCCCCCCCACAAACCCCTGGGGGCATGATTTGAACAATTTTGAGCTACACTTTCAATTACTGGTATTTTTTTTTTAACTCATTGGATTTCTTGAGAAGATTTTTAAAAGAAGCAACCAAATTTTCAACATCACTTCCTGAAAACGCTTTGTTGCATGTCTGCTTTGATACTTGGGAATGCTTCTAGACAAGAAGTTAAAAATGTGTACAGTTTACCAAAGGATGCACAGACAATTGGAAGATAGACAATATGTGATCAGTAAAGCTGACTTCAGCTTATAGCTCAGGATTAACAATAAAAAATACTTTGTCGCTGTGGAGTTGAGTCTCTAGTTTCAAAATTGTCAGTATATTCTCCATCCACTTTTTTCACATGTTGACGTTTTCCCTTTCCAAAGACATCAGTTGCCTTGACAATGTCATTCTCATTTATTTCTATCCCTTCCTCCTCCTCTTCTTCTTCTGTTTGTGTTTCAGTCCCAGCTACCTCTTCACACACCATGCTATCCTTTTCATTAACAGATTCATTCACATTTGAATCTTTGTCTTTATCTTCAAAAGATGTATCATCTTCATTATTTTTACTCTCCTCATTTTCTGAATTTAAATCAATTTCATTGTCCTTTTTCCCTACACCTGCATCTCCATCAGTTTCATCTTTGCCAGATTCACTCGGTTCATCAATTTCTACACCATCATTACTGACATCTTCTGTATTTGATTTAGTGTCCTCATCATTACCAGTGAATTCAACCTGCCTTTGTTCTGTAGCATCAACAGACTGAACCTGGTCTCCAACATTTGTGACAGTATCCACGCTGTTTGTAGGTTCTGACAAAGGCTTCATTATATCTGCCATGGCTCTTCACTTAAAGAGTTTTGCTCTCATTGTTAAGCTGCAAATTAAATGCAAAATTGTTCATATATAATCATTTCCACATAAACAAATATAATAACTTCAGAAAATTACTGGGTTATTATTTGCTACACCAATCGACGATTAAAGAAAAAGGCTGAATATAGATATATACAATTGAGGACTGAGTGTACTTTTCACGAGCTTATTACTGATACGCACAACCAAAACGACTTAACTGGCATAGATGTGACTTAGTTTAAGGCATAAAACAAAAGATACGTTGATTTTAGCGGTCAGTGACAATTTGTTTCGCATCGCTGCTCACATTTTCTAGCAATTTACAAACAAGATCGAAAAATAAAATGAAATTATTATTTAGTCAGTCATATTGTTTAGGTATGAAACTGTTTACCTTGCATTTTATTTTCAATGTTATATACTTCTTCAACTGGAAAAACAAGAATAAAAGAATGAAACTTGAAACTTTAAAATGTGCGTACAACCGGAAGTATCAAAACTTCGCAAAACAAGTTGACTCGTACCCCGAGTGATTCGTACTACGCAATGTAGTTATGACGCCGTTTAAAGAGATATAGAGAAAATAAAGACAAGCATGCCATAAATGGTTTCTAAGCTAAATTATCGAAGAAGAGAATGACAATAAACATTTTGCCAGTGCATTTTCTACGAAAATGTAAGTGGAAAGAGGTACTCCATGAAAGTCTACATCCATCAGCAAGAGTTGTCTTTCTTATAATATTTTTTTGTATGGGGAAAAAGTGAAATCCTAATAAAGATTCTAAATACGGAACACGATACATTAATGCATTTTAAAATTGTACTAGAAAGATGGAACTGTGTTAAATTGTGAGGGTTAGAAAAAAAAACTGGAGGATTTTTTTTATGTCAAGCATTATAAAAAATTAGGAAAAATATTAGGGATGTCAAAATATTTATTTTCTTTAGTCGAAAATTCGATTGCATTATTCGAACGACAGTCGAATATATTCGAAACTTTTTCGGAAACTAAAATTTTATTTCAAACTTCACTGGTACATCACATATCAAATCCCAAATCCCCCTTTTTTTTTAAATTGATTAAAAAGTTACATAAAATGTTACACACAGATGTTCACATGGACTTAAAATGTGGATAGCGTGTTTATATTTACTTAATATAGACCGTTAATTTCTCCAAAATGTAGGATTTCACCGTCAATCATGTTCATAAATTGGTCTGTAAAGTCGGTTTTTTAGGAAGCATAAAAATGACTGTGTGATATATTTTTTTAAAGCTTATTAAAATGATTGGGGGGGGGGGGGCACATACGGTGACCTTGATAATGTTAAATATTTGAATATACTTTTTGTACCAATTATCAAACTGTCTTTAAAATATGTAAAAGAATATTAATTTTATAATAATTATCGTAGTGTCCAAACATGTCACGGCTATAATGGGTACATGGTATGAGATCAAGTCCAATTAATAGTTTTACAAAGAAAGCGCAGTATGGCGAGATAATTTTATTATGAAAACAACACATTAATTGACAATAATTCACGCGCAAGTGAAGCGTTTCTAATCACTGTACTTTCTACATGTAAAGTCAGCAGTTTTTAATGAGAAAAATTATCTTATCGACTGTGTCTGAGGGAAGACGGTTTCTCAATTTTAGGATGAGAATTCCAACTCTTTATCACTCTTTTATTGAATTTATTTATTCGAATGTCGTTTCGTTATTCGATCGTCGGTCCATTCGACTGATGGTCGAATAGTCGACTATTCGTTGACATCCCTAAAAAATATAGAAGTCATTGTTTCTGTTAGTAACTTAGTTATGTTAGGTTAGATGGAACTGACTTTTGGAAGAGATACTTTACTAAATTCTGATAAGTCAAATTATGTGTAATACCAGGGTTTATAACTTGGAACTTAATCTTTCTTATTAGAAGGTTGGTCCCCCCTGGAGATTAAATATTCTCAAGAAAATTCTTTAGGAGTTGGAATCTACAAAATTATTCAATACATCAGATTTTCCTATAAAACAATTGCTAAACTTAAACATAACAAGTCCCCTGGTTTAGATAATCCAATAGTATGTTAAGATTGGAATGCAGTTACTATTTAGTCTTGTTAAATTATTCAGTATGGTTTAGACCAGCGGAAAATATCCCAAAGCATGGTCATGCATGGGGGACGTGCACGTGCACCCCCCGCCCAATAATTTTGCCGATATATAGATTACTATAGAAAACCTAGCTACTATATGCTTGTGCCCCCTCAATAAAAACGTCTGATGACCTTTTTTATTTTTTATTATTATTTTTTTTTGCTTGTCAAGGAATTTTTGGTAGTTGATGGTGCCCCCTCAACTGAAAACGTTTGGCTGTGCCCCCCAAACTGAAATTGCTTCCTACGGGCCTGTGATCATAAGAACTATATAGATCTAGAGAGATTATTTTAACGGGTTTTAATTTGAAAAATCCTCTATAGTGTTCTGAACGAAAGATTTGATGAATTTCATGTTGAAAACAAAATTTTTGATCATTGTCAGATAGGGTTTACCAAGGGGAGGTCAACATTACCGCTTCATTGCGCAAATTTTCAACTCATTACCGCTACATTTCTTCGAAATTTCGGATGATCATTACCGCAACATTTCGTCAATAGGACTATTGCCGATTACAATTTATTACAGCTACATATCGAATCTGCCAGCAATGACACGGATTATGAGTTCCATTTCAATATAATTCACCCACAATGTAGTAGTGGCGCAAAATTTGGATCTGAGCGAAATATGCAAATGGTGAGATTTCCAGACAGCAGTACGTCAAGCAAATGGCCTTCGAAGCTCTACCAATTATGTAAAGACTGTGTGTTTTATCTATGAACAGTGCTCGGTTTTAAAACTATCTAAAATGTTTTATAAAATAAAATAGATTTTAAATTAAAAAAAAAAAAAAAAAAAAAAACTGAAAAAAATCATCCTGCTCAAAGTCCTACTTTCACCTCCTCGTGGTGAGCAGGGGAAACAGTCTTATGTATGTATATGTTGTACTTGGAATCAGTCTGTACATACATAAACCGCTGGCTATAACCCAGGCCCGCAGGAAGCAATTTCAGTTTCGGGGGGGGGGGGGCACAGCCATACATTTTTCAGTTGACAGTTGGGGGGGGGGGCACTACCAAATATTTCCCGACAAAAAAAAAAAAACTTCATCAACTACCAAAATTCCTCAAAAAGCCAAAAAAAATAAATAAATAATAATAATAATAATAAAAAGGTAATCAGACGCTTTTATTGAGGGGGCACAAGCATATATTATATATGTTTACTATAGTAATCTATATATCGGCAAAATTATTGGGGGGGGGCACGGCCCCCCGTGCCCCCCCCCCCCGGTTCCTACGGCCATGAATAACGAAAGAGGCATTGTAGCGGTAATGTAAACTTTTAAATGTCGCGGTAATGTATGTAACTTTTTTTGTATTGAGTATATATGTAGCGGTAATGATAATTTTGAAAATATAGCGGTAATGATATGCCCCCTTACCAAGCACAAGTAGGCTAGAACATACACGTATGTTTATTTTAATTTTTTTTTTTTTTGATAAATATTGCATTGAAAAGAATGAAAACCTTTATTGCATGTTTTGTAGATTTTCGTAAGGCTGTTGATACTGTTATGAATACTGGGATAAAAATTAAACTTCTTCAAATAGAAGTTGGACAGAAATTTTACAATATTGGGTGTCTCTATATAGATTCTGTTACTGTTAATGATCATATAATTCACCGTTTAATGTATGTTGATGATTTAATCTTACTATCGAGCACTTCAAGTGGTTTGCAATCAAAACTTGACATATATTAGACAAATATGGCAATGACTGGTGTCTTAGTGTTAACAAGACAAAACAAAAATAATGAAAAAATGAAAAAAAAATCTGGGGAAAAAATTGTCCAAAAAAATCTTTTCAAATATAAAATGTGAAGACAACAAACAGCCATCAATCTCATAAATCCTGTAAACAAAACGAATCACGATCAGGGCAAAAACAAGAACCCCCTGGAAAATCCAGAGGTGGGATCAGGTGCCTAGGAGGAGTAAGCATCCCCTGTCGACCGGTCACGCCCGCCGTGAGATCTGCTAGTATGCATTGATCAGGTATATATTTTAAGTTCTCCGTAGTCAAATTTAGTGTAAAAGCAATGACCTCACAAATAGTATCAAACATGCCTAACAAAATAAGTTGATTGATTGTTTTCATCAAAACAATTATCTTGGGTGTTTACTTCTGTTTCTCATGGTCTTTTACCTTTGATCAAAATGAGTTATATAAAAAGGCTTTAAAAGCATGCTCTACCTTTGATCAAAATGAGTTATATAAAAAGGCTTTAAAAGCATGCTCAAAATTATAGAGGAAAGATATATTGTCAACATTAACCTTTATATTTGATCATACCATTGCTCCTATTCTTTTGTATGGTTTTGAAATTGGAAGAGGGGGGAGGGGGGTTAATCCTTTGGCTTCCAAATTTAAAAACAAAGATATTACCATGGACAAAAGTTCAACAAATTGAAACGAAACGCAGCATATTAAATCCTGCAAGATTATTCATGGTGTGCATAGAAAGTCGACTAATTTTGCAGTTCTATCTGAACTTCGATTTCCATTGTACGATCCAATTATTAAAAAAAATTCTCGAAGGGACGTTAAACAAACAAATAGATTTATGCCCTTTTTCTATAATTCCTTTATGTAATTAAGTGACTGACATGTTTCATAACAAATATTAGGCCTTCTTTTTTATGCTAAATTTGAAGATGATAATTCCGTCTACCAGATCAATACATACGGCTCACGGCGGGTGTAAACGGTCGACAGGGGATGCTTACTCCTCCTAGGCATCTGACCCTACCTGTGGAATTTACAGGGGTCCGTGTTTTATGCCCTCGTCACAGATTTGTATTGTTAGTAGTTTTATTTTGAGATCGATCAATGTTCCTCATCTTAACCCTTTCTTCATTTTTCACTTCATTTATTTTGTATATAAATAACATACTGAATTTTATTTATCACGAAATAATTTCTGTTGCAATTAGTTCGACACTGGGCCTGCATTTTTGTTAAATTGACTGGAATAATATTCAAGACAGTAGAAGATAAAAATATAGTACTATTACACATACTTCAGATTCAAGCATTTTACCATTGAAGCATATAATCCCGTTGTTGACAATTTTACACATACAGTGAAAGTGTAAAGATCTTTTTAAAAAAATCAACAAAAACAGATGAGATAAGGTTTATTATGAAAAATCCCACTTTCAGTTACATGGACGCATTTTAGATTCTAAAATATAAATACTAACAGAGAGATAAGTCCCTAAAAACACAAGGGATGGGGGAGGTTCCTTTCAGGAAATGTAATTGCTTCTTCCTGTTGAAGACAAGTACAAGGGAAGCAATCAATCAGAAATACTAGCATCTAGAATTCCTCTAGAACAAACTTGCGTTATTCTTCCCACACTAGATGTGAAAGAATGCATGACTGTTTCTTTATCCCTTGTAAGAACATTTAAATTGTCAAAACTACTTGAATCATGCACGCACAAGTTTGTTAATAAAAGTATTTACAGTTTTTCTTGCTCTTCTTTTAATCTCCCTGACAAAGAACGTGAAGTCAGATTTCCAACATTTTCGTTGCTCATCCTCTACTGCTTTCGCTACACTGACATCAAAAGGTAGAAATAGGTCACTGTCTCCCAAACGTAGCGTATTCAACGTTGCTTCACTGTCAGTTAGTAGCAAGAATTCAGAACCCTTTGTTAAATTAAGCTGTGAACATTTGCAAGGAATAATTAACTGGACATTATTAATTAACTTCTTGTTCTTTGTAAGCCGGGCCTGCATAGTCCAAAATCTTCCCACACGTGACATTGAACGCAATACTGCCTTGAATGCTATGAAGAAAAAGAGTGATTATTTTTCAGCAAATTCGTACTTACATCATGTTGTAAATTTTGAATTTATTAGGTGGAGGTAAAGGCAAAATTTAAGTTAATTTATGTTGTAAATTTTGCATTTATCTCCACCTAGTAAATTCAAAATTTATACAAGGGACCGTTTGGTATTTACTGGCATTTAATATCACCTAATATGCAGTTTGTGATATCACCTATTCAGCTCTTGAATTGGTGATATCATCGTTTTGATTTGAATTCGTGATATCACTTATCCGAATAATATATAATAATTCTATCACCTATTTGAAGTGGTGATATCACATATTTAATTGATTTTAAATCGCGATATACCTATTCGGATAAATGATATCACCTATTCAAAATGAATAGGTGATTTCACCAATTTGAATAGGTGATATCACTTATTTGAACAGTGTATGAAAGAGCAATTTAACTGTTCCAAATCTATACACGTACCGCATACATTTTCTCTATATACATGATACAAAAAAGTAAACATTTCAGTCTCTTTTGACATAAATAATAATAATACAAGAAAGTATCAAAAAATGTAGCAAATTGACTGCAAGTAAAACATATTGTATAAATAACTTCACAGGGATCTAACATATGGCATATTAAATTGTGTCAGACTATAAAACAGGGAAAAGGGGCATCCCGAAGTAGCTTAGGGTCAATCGAAATCTAGTTTTTCATATGTATCTTCAGTTTATTTGATCAAATTAAGTTCCAAAAGTCCAGAGAAAGTTTTATGAGCTTTTTAACAAATAAGTTTAAGGGTTACAAAATCAATATCACCATTCATGAATCAATGCTAAGAATTTTACTTTGCATTGAAGTTAGATTGTCTTGAAGAAGGGACCATTCATTTTTTAATGTTGTAACAAGTGCAGATAGAGATAACCTCATTTAAATAATTGATATCACCAATTCAAAACGATATTACCTATTCAAATAGATGATATTACCTATTCAATTCGAATATAGGTGATGTCACCTTCGAATACTATTTATTTTGAATGGATAATATCACCAATTCGAAAAGTTGAAATCACCTGTTCGAATGAGTGATATCACCTGTTCGAATAAGTGATATCATCTTTTCAATTTGAATGAGTGATATCACTTTTATGAAAAGGTGATATCACCTAATCGAATAGGCGACATCATTTAATAGCAATAAACACAAAAAAGCGCCTCATAAATTACATCAGGATACTTAAACTATTTAAACCATTCTTAAATTTCTCGATCAGAAAGGAGTTAAATATAGTTTTCTTTATTGAAACTGAAATAACCGTTCTATAGAATGATTCACATAAGGACAGAACATTCAATATCACCAGATTGTGTGTGTGTGTGGGGGGGGGGGTATAAGAGAGAGAGAGAGAGAGGGAGAATTACTGTATTTCTTGCAGACATCTTCTTTTCCAGACTTGATACTCTTTGAAAACAGTCTGTGGTTCCGTACACATACTCGGCAAAGATTGAAGCGAGTAGACCATTTTTCTCCTGATACATCTTTTTCAACTTGATTTTCTAGAAAAAAAAATCATTTATTTCTCTTCGTTATCTAAGAAAAAAACATTGAATTTATCGAAGAATTGTCTTAAAAGAATTTTCCAAGCAGAAATATCAAGCGAGACAAAGCAGCAATTGCCATACCATGGTAAGAATTTTCAGTCTGGTTCAGATTTATAATGTTTTCATCTTCTAAAAGTAAAAATAAGTAAGTTGACAAACACTTTGGTAGATTCTGTTTTTATAGTAAAAGCAAAATAGTTTTGTATGTTTGATTAAAAGACGAACCATAAGCCTTTGGGCTTGTTGTCGGATCATGTTTCTCAAGATAATAAAATTTTGCCTATACTAAATCAACGGATAAGTAAACAAATGATTCACTCATCAGTTCCAGCTATAAAAAATTATATTCCTCGCTGATTTGATAAAAAAGATTCAAGCCATAATTATCACGTGATTTATATCATTCAAAATATCTCCATTTCCAAAAAATGCTGTTTGAATCTGTTGTATTCATAATTATCCCTGGGAACTTACTATAGCACCGGTGGATGGACAAGTTGAAAGACTTAGCTCTACAACACCCTTCCTCTAGCTCATTGATTCTTTCAACTCCACAGCACTTTGTGTTCTGAACTTTTGAGTGACCAACATTATTGCAGCACATATGAGTATCTGGGTTTATATGACCTAAAATCAAATAAATTTTAACTTCAGTTTGAAAATTTTCCATGTTGACACAAAATTTACTACCTATCGGAAATACGATTTTGTTTTCCTGCTAATTTTCTACTTACCTTCGCCGCAACATTCCCGATTTCTTGGAACAGGAATCCTAGGTCCTTTACAACACTTTTGCTCAATTCTGTTATACAACTGACTCCCACAACAATCAGACGGGTAGGGAGGAATGTCGTGCAGTGTCTCATCGCAGCATGTCTTCTCTGATGTGTTATACGTTTCTGTACCGCAAATGTGCTGATCAAAGCCAATAACACGGCCATCCATACACTGCTCCTCTCTAAAATCGTAATCTCTCTCAAGACAACAGTCTCTGTTCTGCGATGGGGCAACTTTGAATTTCCCGCCATATTCACAGCATATTTGAGAACTCGAATCGAACATTTCTTTATCTCCGCAACATCTTAAAACTGTTTAAGAAGATTCGTAAGAAATGTTCAATTTAAATTAATGCTGTCAAAATAAATTTGAATAGTAGTGTTTTTCATTGTCATAACACTTATTATTATATGTATATTCTTATCATCATTATTAAACATCAACTGGAGCCCAACGTAAATTGCACTTTTTTGTTAAATAAAACAGTTAGAAAAGGGAATCATAATACATGCAATATTTAAAATAAAACCACGAGAAATCTTGCCTTGTGTTGCATTGAAGATGGTTCCTCCGCAACAGACGAAGGAGTAAGCCGGGAATTTGTACAGTTTGTTTCCACAGCACACACTATCCTGCTTATAATCTAGGGTATTATTGCAACAAATTTTCTCTTCTGGGTTGAAGAGTTCTCCTATAAAGTAAAAACATGTAAGTTGACCTAATGGTAATATTGTATATGAATTTATATCGTTTCTAATTGCTTTATATTCATGGAATATTGATGTGATTAATCAAGAAATTTATATCTGTGGTAACTATGTGAAAATGTTTTGTGCACATATTACTCATTTAATAAATTTGATTTCAAATGACAGACAATGTCCTTCTCTAGAATATTTTACTTTTCGGAGAAGCAATAAAAAATAACTAACACGTGAAATACTTTAAATATACTAAATAAAATGTAGCACTCTGTAATTTTTGAAAAATTTTGAAATGATTACCATTACAACATGATCTCTCTAGTCTCTTGTGAACAGTCCCATTACAACAGATTTCTGTTCTGGTGTGGTAGGATTTCCACGGACGACCCACATTACAACACATAGCATATCCACTGGACATGAAGGGGACATTCGAATCCTCGTTGTAAACGCAGGAGTGGATAGCTACAATTAAACTAGTGATTTAGGGTTAAACCAATTTTTTTTTATATTTGTAGTTTTCTACGTGGTTAAGAAAGGGACGTTTGCATTCAGTGAGCGGTCCAAAGTCGTGGACAAAAAGATATTCTACTTTAGATATACTTTACCCCTGATATAGATTGTAAGTATCAACAGTAGTAATGAGAAAGGACCAGCTTTAGTAGTCATCATTGCAAGCATTTTTTAATATTTGTAGGTACCTCATATTATATACGGAGATGAGGAAACAAAATTACGCCTGTGTGTTTTATGAAAAAATCTTTTCGGTAGTTTTTCCCCTGGACACCCTACCACAGCTTTCGTTTATGGTAGCAATTTTTACGTCCGCCTTCTTAAGTTTATGAATGAATAGGGTGTTGTATCGTGTCTCAGGGTCACGAACAATTTCCCCCCATTGATACATAAGTGAGCAGTAACTCATTCATTGTAATACAAATACCGGTAGTTATTTCAAAGCTAGGACAAAGCCGTGTATTTTGAAATAACAATGAAATTACAGTTCGAAATATCATAAAAGTGGAAGCGCTATTAATATGACACATATTTATTTTTTGTTGAATGTGCACTGTTAACACTAAATCAGTGTCCATATTTAAACTATTGCACCCATTTAATAGATGCATGACAATTATTTTTATGTGTTATATTAAGGAGAGGAACTGGTAAGTTGATAGAACTTGTTTCTGATCCTTTGGTTGACAATAAAATATGTTCAACACAATAGATGCAGTAGCATATCGGATAAAATTAACGCAAAAAAAAAAAAAAATCAATCAATCAATCAAAAAAAAAAATAATCAAAAACAGTATCCTATTCTTATAAAATAATGATGCAAAAAAAATATATTTGGGTGACAGACATTTGACATGCAGATAACATACTCTATCAACCCTAAGTATGTAAAACTCGACAATATTTTTTTTCTTCAAAAAGTGATGATAAGAGATTATTCCAAAGCAAAATTGAAACTCTGCTTTCTGCGTTCAATATTTACATGAATTTTGTAATGGCAATTAATAAATCGGTCGATTAATCCAAATTATTCCAATTTGAAGAATTAGTAGATGATTAAATGGGAAATACAACTGGTTATTAGGTTAAATGTGTCCTTTCTGAAAGGCTTAATGTTATCAAAAAGAATATACACGACAACTTAAAAGTAGTAAATTGGTATATTTTATTTGATAAAATGAAGTATATCAAGAATAGCACTTTCACTAAATTTTTGAACACATTTGAAGAAAAGAAATATATAACAATTAACGAAAGAATTTGTCTTAAAAACACAACTAAATAAGTATATAAATCTCACCACAGAGCAGGAATTGCAGAAATACTATGCTATAAAACGTTGTATGTGTCATATCTGATACTTTTTATTTTACAATTGAATTAATCAAATCATGTCTTAAGTATATATGATTTTAAGACTCCTACAAAAATATAAAATAACCATTGTGATATTTAAAACAAGATAAGGTCAATTTATAATCAATAATTATGTGATTTCAAACCCCCTCCTAATGCAGAGAAGAGATCTTTGAAAGTGTTTTTAAAGATAGCATTTCCTTTTAAATCAATATTTGAATAATGAATAAACGTTCATCTATCTTTTTTTCGATATTCAAACAGTTCGATAACATATAAATAGAAATAACAAACTCATTTAATATTTATCACACAGAACTGATATACTATTACATCTAATATAAGTGTTTATTGTTTGACATTTGATATCTCAATAGATCAATCGAGAACTGCAAGACAATACTGGATGATGTACCACGCATCAAGGATTGTGGTTATCTTTAGGAATCTAATAAAAAATGCATCAACTTTTTAAAAAATATAATGTTCAAAATTACATAATCATTAGTAAATGTGTGGTCATGAAACCAGATGTCAGAAGGACATTTTACTGATAAAACACATAAATTATTAACCGATAACAAAACAATTTACCGTGATCATTTCTTTATGTTAAAAAAACTATACCAATTTGTGCCATAAATTTATGGAAGGCTTTTCATTTGTTTTCAAATTTTACAAAGGGGTTGTTAATTTCGTGTTTATTTAAGGAATAACTGTCTAGTTTTTGGTTTTATAAGCCTTGCGTGATAATTTGCATTAACGCCAAAGGCGTTTATGCATAAAATTATCACGCAATCCATTTACTTGATCATCATCATAAAAAATAAATAAATAAATAAATAAATAAAAGACAGTTATTCCTTATATTTACACGATTCCGTAAATTCACGAGCTCGGTCCAAGCCCAGCCCACTTCTCTCTCTCTCTCTCTCTCTCTCTCTCTCTCTCTCTCTCTCTCTCCATCTTCCTCTCTCTCTCGCGCGCGTGACTTTTTTAAACCATGCACGCCTGTCGATGAAACTATAGCTTTATGAAGAAATCAAGTCATTTTATTATTTGTAGTTTTATCTCGGACAAAGAAATTTGAACATGAAAATATTTAAAGATGCTTGAGAGATACCATACGGCAAAATAATGCATCTGCACCGATATTTACTTTATCAAGGTATTCCAAAGGACTATATGATACGAAGGCCGGATGGGCTCATTTTTGACAAGACAAAAAAATATTTAACTCGTTATTACGAGATAATTATCTCGTAATAACGAGTTAGTATCTCGTTATAAAGAGTTAGTATCTCGTTATAACAAGTTAGTTATCTCGTTATAATAAGTTAGTTATCTCGTTATAACGATTTAGTTATCTCGTTATGACTCGTGTCATTCATCAGAAATAGCTGTCATAAATAAATTGCCAGAGTTTGAAGCAAGTATATTTGGCAATATTATTTAAAGAAAAATGTGGCATCCTAATGCAACAATTTGAGGAGGAGTTCACGAATTGATATGTAAATGTGTTCGTCTTAGAGTTGCTATACTTATCAAAATATGATTATTGACAGCGAGATACAAGATTTAATCATAAGTACCCCAGAGCAAATTAAATTTTCAACCATTTATCAATTGATCAAGTTAAATTTGACTGATAATTACTAGCTAAAAATTGAATGGCATTAAAAACTACAGCCATTTTTATTCCTATATTGCTATTAAATCTCGAAATAAAGAGAATACTATCTCGTTGTAACGAGATACTAACTCGTTATAACGAGATAATTAACTCGTTATAACGAGATAACTAACTCGTTATAACGAGATACTAACTCGTTATAACGAGATAACTATCTCGTTATAACGAGTTAATTTTTTTATCTTGTCAAAAATGAGCCTATCCGGCTTTCGTTATATGAAAAGTGATGGGTATCGCTAAAGATTTCGTATCGTGATATATATCACGATTTTCCCCCAAAAATGTCACGATAATATCGTGATATTTTTACACGGAAGTTTTACTAGAATTTTAAATGAATTTCTAATTTTTTTCTTACAAATACGCTGTAAAAAACATAACTTCATTTTTTTTTCATTTTTATTTTTTATATAAAGTTTGGATGTTTAACTTTTTTTCAACATTTTTTAAACTTCCTGTAATTTTTATTTAATAGTTCGAAGAAATAAATGAATAATTTCTAGAATTTACAGTTATGTACCAAAAACCGGTATTTTAGTCTCCGTATCACGATACGTATCACGCAATAAAAAAATCACGATATTCCGGTATACATGTGTACCGATAAAATCGCGCATCCCTAATGAAAAGAGTCAATTTGGCCCCCATACATGTAAATCAACATTTTTAAATGTGATTTGGGTATATTAAATTCTATTTTAATTAAGTAGAAGAATTTATATTTGAGATATTTTCAATACATTTGTCTCACTTTTATGCACTCACTGGCTGTAAATGACGTCAGATATGATGCTATTTTTGCAATCTGATCAAAATAAGACAAAATGTGCCATTTTCTTGACATCTTCCAATGGGAAACATATAGCGCAGCTTTGAACAAGCAGAATTTTTCTGTCAATAATTATTCTTGAATAGACACATCTTTGGTGAAAATATAAAGTTCGTTAAAGTATGCGCTCAATATTTTCTTGAAGGAAAGCTGCTTGAAAATAAGCAATTTATTTCTCAAATATACTAAAGGTGAACTTCATGATTTTATATTTCTAAATTAATGGAATTTG